TACTCATCGTCTCACAGCCCGCTGAGTGAAGGACTTTGAATTCTCAGCTACGCAGTTCTAGCTGACCACAATCTGTGAGAAGAGTGAACAGAATCATAGGTACTTCTTCATAAATATTAGGATGTTGGAGTAAATTTGGTAAGCCATGCGGAGCCAAAAGGGAAGTGTTTTTGCATAAGAATGTAAGAGATTATATGAAAGAAACATGAAGCAGAGAAGAGAGCTGTCCTGCACACTGAATAATGGAAATACTGGCCCACTGGCCAGCATAACAGCTAGCTAAATATGGTAGTAATAACTTCCTAAATGCATGTTGGATATTAGCTAAAAGCTATATCAGTCAGGATTCTCCAGAGAAACAGAATCAAGAAGATTTATTTCAAGGGATTGGCTTATGCCACTGTGGGGGTTGGGGACTCCAAAGCCTGTAGGGCAGGCCGGCAGGCTGGAAACTCAGGCAGGATTTGATTCCCTAGTCTTGAGGTGGAACTTCTTCCTTTCTTAGAAACCTCAGTTTTTTCTCTAAGGCTTTTCAACTGGTTGGAAGAGGTCGACCCACATTATCAAGAGTAATCTCCTTTGCTTAAAGTCAACTGATGGTAGTTAACCACATCCACAAAATCCCTTCACAGCAACACCTAGATGAATGTTTGATTAAATAACTGGGTACTAGGTCGTAACTAAATTGACACATAAAACTAACCATCACATTAGCCAAGGAGGAAAAATTGATATTTCAATCAAGTGCCTAAAATTAGCATTAATAAAGCATATAAAGATTCGAGAGCTACTTTTCTTATAATTTGATGATGAGTAAGTAGTTTCTCCCACCATCAACATATTCTTGGGTGCCATCTTGCTCTTGGGGTCCCTCTTGTTCTGTCAGTGAAACTAATTTTTTCCCAAGACAACTGACGACATCATGAAATATTTATCTTGGGACACATGTTCTACAGAAATTCACTCAATTCTGAATAGAAATTTGTTTCTATCCCTGATTTAAACAACTGGTCAACCTGAAGGTAGCCATGAAGATGACAAAGTAAATGTGCCAGGGAAGTAATGACCAGTTCTTTTGGAGTGGTTTGTTGGGGGCCCTTCATTTTCTTTTTCTCAGTATAAATATTGCCCACTTAAATTAAATTCAGATAAAACCAGGTCACTCTCACCTTGTCCCTAACATAAATGAGACCATACAAAGAAGATTTTCCCTAAAGAAATGCCACCATTTTCTCCCTCTTTTGCCAGGAAATCTGACTACTGTGTTTGCTAGCTCTTGGCAAGCCTGCCTAAGGTAACTGAGAATAAAAACTGGTTAAAGGTGTGGTTAGTTTTATTTTGCTGTAGGTATAATTATATCTTATGGTTGGAGGTGGTGCAATTTGGCAGAGGATAGAAAGTTTTACAGAAATAATTGAAGGGCATCATCACCAACAAGGCTACAAAGATGAAAAGACCCAAACAATTCTTGGCAGGTTGCTCATTCAGGGAAAGACATTCAAATGATTTATAAATGTAGATCAAGAATGGGTGCCTGTGTGCATTTGCCAAAGAGCTTCTCTGATCACTTCAGACTTCCTCAATTTCCACTCTAAAGATTAAGGTTTAGGTGACTTCATCATTAGAAAGAAAAATAATAAAATTAACTTTAATTTACCAGTTGACACGGTACACACAATGAAGTGTGATGATAACTTAAAAACATCAATAATCAGAAAATCATATAAATTTAGTTTTTTGATTCAAAAGACTTTTTGCTACATCATTTAATTGGGGATATTTTGGGCTTGGCAAGAATGCAGGGCTTAAACATTGTTAGAAGAGGAAGTTAGTTACCCCTTTCCCAACATATCACTGGATTTTTGAGACTTCCACACATTGTTTAGCATCCATAAATTTACAAAAGGCAAAAAGAGATGCCACCTGAAATGAAAAGGATGAAGACTGCAACTCCTTCTCCAAGTTCAAAGATATAAAAAGGAAGTAGGATGGGCTGGGATGATACTGACCAAGGCTAGGTGATATGAAAAGGACAATAGGGCCCAAGAGAAAAACCCACTGAAAAAGAAAGGGAGTCTGGTGACAAGAACTATACCATCATATAGACTGTTGATAGGGAGTGTTGGTTCTTGTTATACAGTGTGACTAATGGTAGAACGCCTTCCTACGGAATCAATTTGATATTGTGATCGTGCTTTGGGGAAAATGGCTATGGATATGTGAATAAGAGTTTTATCACTAAAGAATTGTGTTTTTGTTTGTTTGTGTGTGTGTTTTTTAAGGGATGCTCATGACTAGTATTACAGAGAAGTGTTTCCCTGGTACCTCAAAGACCCATCTGGGTGAATAAGCAAATGGAAAATAGGGGAATTGGCAGTGGTGCCAAACAAAACGGACACACTAAATTTATAGGAGATGGTTGCCTGTTCGGGCTTCAACAAAACACAATAGGCAGGAGGCACAGTTGATACAGCCCACTTGAGTTCAGTCTTGCCTTGAGGAGTAAGACAAAATTCTGGCTCTCTGAGAGCATTATAATTCTGGAATGAGTACTTGAGTCCTTATGAATATTTAGGAATAAAAAATATGTTAGGTATCCATTGCTATGTAAAAAATTACCCCACTATTTAGCAGCTGAAAACAACAAACATTTATTATGTCACAGTTTGAGTCAGGAATCCAGCAGAGGCTTGCTTACCTGGGAGGTTCCGGCTAGAGGCTCTCATGAGGTTGTAGGCAGCTGTTGTTGGCTGAAGCTGCAGTGATCTGCAGGCTGGAAGAAGGTCATCTTCTACAAACACTCTGTCAATGTCCAAGATGGCTTGCGCAGAGGCGCCAATGAAGCCTGAACTCTGAAGCCTTTGATTGGCGGGAGCAGGGCTTCCAGGAATGCGAGGCAACTGGGAACCCTGGTACCTGGAGGGGCCCAGGTCCCCATCAGCAGCAAGACCAACTAGGGAATTACTGTCGCCAGGTGTGCTGCTCCAGGACCAGATCGCATTTCGAGTGGACCCCTCCAAAGAGGTGGATAGCCAGGTGGTTAGACCCCGCCATGGCATCGGAGGCCTGGAGGGCCCCAGCTACCCAAGGCCTGCGGACAGGGGTACTGCCCATGCGCGTGCGGCTCTGTTCGGAGTTGTCCGGGATCTGAAACAGTTCAAGGGGGCCTGAGCGGCCTCATCACCGGCGTGGGTTTCTTGAGGGACCCACTGTCTCTGAATAACCCCAAGAGGTAACCTAACCAATGGCGCCTATTGCTCCTGGAGGCATTTCTGGCGGGGGGAACTCGAAAGTCTTTCCAGGGCGGAGCGAGACGAGGCTGACCCGGGTTCTTCCAATAAGAGACAACTGGGAGCCCGGATGTGAAAGACGCCGCTGCTCCGGAGGGTCTGGGGCAGCAGAGCAAACTGCGCATGCGGGTCCCGCCAGCTCGGTGGTACCGGAGGGAATCCCGGACGGGCCGCAACCAGGTGCCGGGCCAGGAGGGGCAGGGTCCCTTATCACGGGCATTTGGGGAGAAACCGGGCATCTGCCAATGTTCAAGCCCGCCCTAGACTAAGGCTCCTGTTCCCCCCCCCCCCCCTGAAACCAGAAATCAAGGGAATTCTGAAGTCTTGCTTGGAGGGACCTAGGAGTCCTGGAATGAGACACCTGGGAGTGCTGGTTCCTATGTAAGTCTGGGTCCCCATCATAAGCACTTCTCTGGATAAGTGAATTCCAAATTGGGAGTGATTCTCACCACCTTGCAGCCACAGTATCAGATCATGTTGTGCGTGGGTGGAGGGAGGGTCCCCTCCACTCAGAAGAATATCCAGGTGGTCAGGCTGGTCCATGGCATCAGCGGCCTGGTGGGCCCTGGTTGCCCAAGGCCTGCTGAAGGGGTGGATACTGGGCATTCGGGTACCAAAGGCTTCAGGGTCGCCAGGGTTCTGTAGCAGTTCAGGGGTCCTGAATGGCAGGATCACTGGCCAGCTCTTGGGGTACCCAAGGCAGAGCTCAAGGTTACTCCTGAAGGCAGAGCTCAAGGTTACGCCACTGTCTTGCCAGGGCAGGGCTAGAGGCTGGCTGGAGAATCCTCCAGTAAGAGACAGCTGGAAACATGACTGCTGGAGAAGCCTGGACCTCTCTCCATTGGGAAGTGTAGCCCAAGCTTCTTTACAATGCGGAGCTTTCTAAGAGGATAAGCCCCGACATGCAAATGCTTATCAAACCTCCACGTGCATCACATTTGCTAATATTTCATTGGCCAAAGCAAGTCACCTGGCCAAGCACAGAGTTAATGTAGGTGGAACTATACCAGGGCATGAATTCCAGAAGGTACGGTATGTTGGGGACCTTCATTATTACAATTTGTAACAGCCGTTAATTATTAACAACGAATATTCAGTTTTAAAAGTGTTCTCACATTCATTATCTCATTTGGACAATAACCCTTGAGGAAAAAGTAAATGTCACCCCTATTCTACAAAGAAAAAGATTGGGGCTCAGAAATCTATATACCTAAAACCCAACAACTAGTAAATGATAGAATTGAGACTTGAACTTAGGTCTTATTACTCCAAGTGCTGCGTTTTTCTTTCTTTTTTTCTAAAGGTTTTATTGGGGAATTGGGGAAAGGGAACAGACAAGTTGCTGTCCTTTTGTTCTTCAGTCAGTTGTGGAGAACGTCGCTTCACTGGCCCATGTTGGTATTATCATTGCACTCTTCCCAGGTGAGGCAGTTGCTCACCGGCCATTGGACGGCCGCTCACAGTGGCCTACACCATTGCCAGCAACTCACGGGAGCCCAGCTCCAGGTTAAGCTGTTGTTCACCATCTTAGCTGTAGAGGGCGCAGCATCACTGGCCCTCATGTGGAATCTGAAAACTGGGGTCCTGCTGCTTAGAGCTGGCGTCCCAAGCCAACTCTTAACCAATGCACCACTCAGCCGGCCCAAGTTCTGTGTTTTTCTATGATATCACAGCTATCTTCTTTGGTCAGCACAACCTGTGTTTGTTTAATCTTTCCAAGTTTTGAAAATTTGTTGACAAATAAACAAGAAATGATTATTTAAAAAAAATACTTTTTCCAGAGCTTAGATTGTTTATTTTTAATTATTTGGTGGGAAATGCACTCAATTCTCAAAGACTGATATATCGTAACAGTTATTAGCAATGTTTACTTATTGTAAAGCAAGCCCTAACTAAGCTAGGATGGCTATTGGGAAGAATACACCTTATGTCAAATCCTAAAAGGGGATTTATTTAGACTTCATGATGCCCAAAGTTTCTGCTGAGGAACAGAGCTTCTTTTCTACACCCCAGCCCCATGACAAAGAGTTTCAGCCCCAAACTCCCATCCCAGGCCCAATTCCTTAAGGCATTTATGCTACCATGCAAATGTCAACACTAACGGACCACAAGTAATAGAACTTGTATCTATTACAAGTGGAGTTGGGTTGGGGGCCTTATAAATAAAAGTTTATATTGAGAAAGAATCCACAATGATTCTTATTACTGATTGAAATTTCTGGATGCTGGAGAATGAATCACAAGGGGATGAAGATCAGAGCTGACTCAGAAATGCTACCGGTGATGCTGTTGCCATCGCAATCAATGGTTGAAGAACAGAGATCCAGGGGGAACTACAACCCTGATTCCCAAGAGGAGCTGAAATCTGCCACCAGGCCCTCCCTGGATGAGGCGCTCCACTGAGAAACGCCCTCTGCGTTGTCCTGTCATCTGGTTCCATACTCTGGGCCCCCAGCTTCCAGATGACACTTTTCATTAGGACCCCTGGATGGCTGGGCCTTTGATCCATTCCCTTTGCGTTCCTTGTCACTTTCCTGGTATGGAGAGAAATAAGGACAACTAACTATAAGCCAAATACATCGGAACCCCCGCTCTTGTAAAGACATCCTTGTAAGAAGCTTCTCCTGTAAGCAATCTCAGGTTTTATGCTCATCTGCTTTTTATGACCCATCTCATGATATTCTAACTGCACAGAAGTGAGGCAAATACAAAAAAAAAAGTGTCATGGGAGTAAGTGGCAATAGAAAAATAAGTCAGTCTGACCATGGGAGCTCAGTGAAATTGTAGTACAGTAAGTCCTCATTTAAGATCATTGATAGCTCTGTGACTTTAAGCAAAATGATGTGGAAGGAAACCAATTTTACCATAGGCTAACTGATACAAACAAGAGTTAAGTCACTACTGCCTCTCATCAATGTTATAACGAAATGTTACTCCAGGACCTGCTGTACATGAGTACCATGTGGAAAAAAAAACTCTTCCATGTGACCCAAAGCAGGAGCCACCAACTTTCCCATCCCAGGGCTCTTGCTGTCCCCTTCAGGATGTCACATACCTGATTTTGTATTCTATAGTATTCTTTTAACACATACTGATATTTGGGTTGATCAAGACCTAAGAAGACAGCAAATCTTCCACCCAGGAATTCACATGCTAAAAGAAAGAACAAGCACTTGGGTAAAATGAATTCACCAGGAAAGCTGAGAGTCGTTTGAGATGCCAAGAGTTTCCACTTGCCTGCAATTGGTCTATTAACCATACTTAGCTTCAAGGCTGACAAAAGATTTCAATGGCTCTGGACCTTTTCAAAAAAAATTCTAGGACTCAAAGGGAATTGGTTCAATCTTCTATCTTCTCATGGGATTACATCTAAATTATCCTTTCCAGATGAATATATCAGCAGAGGGTTTCAAAGTACTTCAAAACAGGTATAGCATGGGTCTTGAGCAATCAGAATTGATGATGCTGGTCCCATGAGTATTAGCTGATCATCAGCTATGAGTATATGAGTATTTCAGGTTACACCAAAAATTTCAATCCAGCATTGCCAAGACCCAGGTCAGAAATTCTACCAGGTATCAAGCCCTCTCTTTCTTATTAGCAGTTTGTAGGCCAGCAGGCTCAGCGCTGTGATTGTTATGTTAGAGTCAGGGATAAAAGTTGAGCATAATGAGTGGTTTCCTGGAGGTGTCTCCTAGAAATGTTTTCCTTTCAAATTATAGGACTTCTGACCCCCTAAGACAGGACTTTCTGATCCCCTGACTCATTCCACTTCTTGGAATATTACTCAGATAGTGCATCTAAATGATGCTATTTTTTTAAATGCATTTTCTCCAAAATTACTCTAGCTCATGTGTCACCGTGCCTAGTACATGTGTACAAGAGAAGTTGCTAAAATATTAGAATAAATCTTAGGATGCTTTCCTGGTTGTGACCTACTAGGATTTTAAAAGGAAACAATGAATGGCCAGAGTCCTCTCCATAGTCTCTGTGGAGAGACCAGGGCACTGACTGCCAGCATATTTATGCCTCCGCTACAGTCTGGAAGCCCCAAGCAGAAGCACCTTAATGCCACAGATCTGTCCAGAACCCTGAAGGCAGCCCGATTTCTTATGTATCCTGTCCCCACCACCCTAAGTCAAAGCCCACATGTAAATCCCTGTGGTAGCCTTCTCCCTCACACTCACTTATTGCTGTATTGAGTTTTACTTCTTTCACCTGACCTAATTTCCTAAGGCTCCCTCCGTCCAAACCATTTTACCTCTTCAAACAATCTCGCCATGACTAAAGCATAGAGCTCTCTGGAAGACAGCATTTCTTCTGCCAATGTATTATAGTCAAGGTCAGTTTGGTCTTCACCTGGGTCTGCAAAGTAACTTCCAAATCACTAACCCTCCACCCTGATATAAAAGTACTTATTCCTTTAAGGCTCATAGCATCTGACTAAATCACCCCTATCATTGCTTTTACTGTAATTTAAAGACCCCCCCACACACACACGCACACACACACACACACCCCGCCCCGTCATGGTCATAGTCTCTAAGCTGGCCTAGGCTATACATGCTTTCATAGCACTGTTGACGAGTCTCCTCCAAATGCCAGCAGTCCTGAGTATTCCAGTCCGTTTACCCTATGCCCTCCCTACCATAGCAATTGTGACAACAAATTATAATTATAGGCATGTTTACCAGCCTACATTATCCATTGACTACCGAGTCCCTTGAAAGCAAAGACTGTCGTTTTTCTTTGTGTCCCAGAGTGCAGCAGAGCACCGAGTACATACTGGAGCGCAATAAATGTTTACTTAGTGAATGAATGCAGGTCAATTCCTACGAGCTGTATTTTAGTTTCTCAGATTTTTAAAGTTGTTTTCATTTTCCTCCCTGTCATGTGCACAAGCATAAGCAAGTTAGAAGGAAATGAGTGATTAGAAGTTGCCAATTGTGTTTTAAAGAAAATGAGTGAAAAGCAAGCAAAATAAGATTCAGTATTTCATCTGTTATAAATAGCCATGTAGGGCGAGCATCATGTCCCTGGGAGGAATCAATAAGGTTGTTGTTTATAATAGCGTGGTTATGACAAGGGAACTCGGAACTCTGTCACTGAACAATAGTTTTAAAACAGTTGAAAGTTTATTTAGGTGAAGAGTCAACTCAGAGACGACTATTGTTTTCAAATGTTTGAAACTCTGCCCTGCGGAAGTAGACTGGTTTTGTATGACCTTAAGAAGACAACTAGGATCAATGGAAAAAACTGTAAAAGAAGACAAAATATAAGATAGAATTTACTAACAAGAATTGGGAAAAGATGGGTCTGCCTAAAGATGTGAGGTTCTACGCCTTTTGCAGTGTTCCAGCTTAGATCTAGAAGTGACCAGGTCATCACTTCTTCAGAATGCTGTGGAGTGGATTAAACCATTGGACGTGCCAGAAAAAATAACCTTAGTGGTACTTACTAGAAAATGAGGTGCTTGCTATTCGTCTCGCCCAATACCGTAGGTAGGGCCCCCATGAAAGTTTCGACTGAAAAAGAGAGAGAGATATCAAGTTAGAGTCACTAATAACAGGTATGCTGACGACAGTCTTTCATTGACATTTCAAAATGCTTTAGAATATGTTCCATTTTATATCTCAGAGATGAAAAAACTAAGATTACCAAAATTACATATGTGTTGACTATACATGGACCTAGAACGCAAACCAAGGAGACCCAAGCGTTCCCTTAAAACTATTTTCTACAGATCTTGTCTGGCTTAATCTCTCATTCACTCAGCCCACATGTTCACTAATATTGACATTCTAAGCTTACAAGGTCAAGTGGTGAATTTGTTCTCTGTTCTTTGTCTTCCTCTTCCTCCTCCTCGGTGCTATATTCTTCCATGATGTCTCCATCAGCAAAATGGATAATTCTTTTGGGAGTAGCCTTTTTGGGAGGTCCACTCTTCTCTAGTTCTAATTGCTGGAAGCTGTCTTTTTCCATGAGGAAGCAAAACAACTAGTGCATTAAAAACAGGACACCTTAGAGCAAGTTGCACAGGGCAGCTTTAATATAGCTGAGACGCGTTACTTATTTTCAAGACGGTAAAGACGGAGAGTTCAGATGCAATCACAGCTGTGATCTCATCAATTCTTCAAATCCAAGACAGGCCTGTTCATTTCTGTACCAAAATGGAGAAGATTCATTTAGTAGTGAAAATGTGAGCTTTGGGTCTTTAAACGAAAATTTCAACAGGGTTCTCTTACCCCTTATTAATTAAAACCCACAACTTCTAGTGCTAAGTGGCCATCGCCCTGCAGAAATTCCTCAATAATTTCAGTAAGTACTGGGAGGCAATATACGTAGTGGTTAACAGTACAGGCTTTGCACAGATGGAAGACAATATTTGCCAAGTATATATCCAGTACAGAGCTTATTTTCAGAATATGCAAAGAATTATTGCAATTCAATAGGTAAAACACAATTAAAATACTTGTATGGGCAAAATATTTGAATAGCCACTTTACCAAAGAAGATTTACAGATGCCAAATAAACTTAGGAAAAGATGTTCAATGTACTAGTCATTAGAGAATGCAGATTGAAACCACAATGAGGTATCAAAACATCCTCACCAGAAGGCTAACATTAGAAAGATTAACAATACCGGTGTTGGTTAAGTGAAGCATTATATTAAGTGAAGCAATAGATATCACCCATATATTGCTACTGGGAATGAAAAATGGTACAACCACTCTGGGAAACAATTTGGCAGTTTCTTAAGAGTCAAACATATACTTACCATATAATCTTGTAATTCCATGCCTAGATATTTATTTACCCAAGAGAAATGAAAACATATCCATCTAAAGAGTTGTACGTGAATATTCACAACAGCTTTATTTGTAAGAGCCCCAAACTGGAAACAAACAAATGTCTATCAACTGGCAAATAAATAAAATGTGGTATAGCTATTCAATGGAATACTACTCAGCAATTAAAAGTAATGACTGATATTTGCAATGCTATGAAGAAATCTCAAAAGCATTATGCTAAGTAAAAAAAGCCAGACACTATTTTATAAAATACCATTTATGGGGTTTAAAAAAAGGCAAAATTATAGTAGCAGAAAAGAGTGTTTGCTAGAGGTGAGAGAGTGGGGGGAAGGGATTAATTCCAAAGGGACAAATGGGAACTTTTAGGAGTGATGCAAATGTTCTAATGGATACCATGATTGTAGTGGTGGTTACTCAACTGTGTACGTTTGTCAAAATGAGTTCTCAATTTAATGTTCATTTTATTGTCTTTAAATTAAATCTCAATAAAGCCGACAAGCTTGGAGCCAGACTGCCCAGGTTCAAAATCCCATTACTTATTATCCCTGTGTCTTGGTTTCCTCATCTATAAAATAAGAACGATATAGTTTGAATATGTGCGTGAATATGGTACCAACCTTATAAAATTGAGGAGTAGAGGAGTAAAGACACATAAAGGAGTTAGAACAATTCTTAGCAAATAGTGTTGAATAAAAGCTAGCTATTATTATGTACCTATCACTCAATCATATATATGGATCAAGCGCTATTCTAATGTGGTAAGTACAGTATTGTCTTAATATTTACTACAAGATTGTATCAGCAAATATGGCAGAATGAGTGGATGGGGAAAAATTGTGCTTCTTGTTCTAAACACAAAGAAATGCTGGACACAATTAAGCAAAACATTAAATCAAGCTGCACTAAGGGAGAGAGAGAGAGAGAGACAAAGGGGGTGGGGGGTGGGGAGAAAGGCACTGAAGACCAATGATATGCTAAGTATACTACTATTGCAAAAGTAAATATCGTCAGTGCCGTGATAAAGAAAACATTCTGTAACAATGAAAAGCAAATAAAACATATTAAAAAAGCAACTCACCTACAAAATCCCTCTGCTTTTTCTTTCATTGCTTTATTTGGTTATGTTTGGTTTTTAAAGTAGTATGAAATTTGGTGCCCGAAGTTGTTGGGTAGATGATAAATTACTGAAGAGCCAGGCTGAGGCCATACAGGGCCCTCGATCGATATGCCGACGTGGAAGGAAGTGTTCTCGTGCGTGTGGCTTAGAGGGTGGAACATGTTTGAGTTGGGGGAAGGTCAATTATATTTACACATTCGGCATTAAGTAAATCCAGTGGCCCTCGAATTTATCTTCAAGTTAGAATCATCTAGAGGTCTTTTTAAAAATGCCAAGGCCAGGCTACATCTCAGAGGACATACATCACAATCTCTAGGGGTGGGACATGGGCATTGTATTTGGGAAGCTGCCCAAGTGATGCCAATGTGCAGGCAAGTTTGGGGACCAGTGCCCTCAGGGGAGTAACTTCTAAATTGAAACAGAGACTTGTGGTTTAGTGATTCTTTTTTTTTCAAGAAGGGTTTTTGCTTTCTGCTTTCTGAGCTCTCCTTCCTGCCTTGCCCCAAGCTAAAAGGCTTAAATATTAAAAGATTCAGAACAAGGCCTACCAGTATCATTACAGTCCATCTATTCCTCTCAATACCATATCCCATCTCATACGTTTCTGGGGAAGTACCCCATCCCCAGACACCTGGCTCCCCCCTATTACCTTACAGACTAATGGGACCTGTTGGCTCTCTGAAATACCCGTTTCTTTTCTTCATGATAATAATGTTGTTCGTTAAATAAACATATACATCTTTTCATTCAGAGGGGCTCCAAGGGGGGGCGCGTGGGGAGAGGGAGAGGGGGAGGGGGAGAGAGAGGGAGAGAGACAGTGGGNGAGAAAGGGAGAGAGGGAGAGAGGGGGGAGAGAGAAAGAGAGGGAGAGAGAGAGAGCACGAGCGAGCGCGCGTGAGCACAAGAGGCTGACGGCTGCAGTGGATTTAGTGGATGCTTTCTGCCACCTACTGGACGTTTTAGGATGTGCTATGCAAAAGTCACCTGTCATATAGAGGGCGCTCAAAAACAGCGTGGAATCTACTTACTTTTATTCACAAAAATCTTGAGAGCATTGCCAACTTCACACCAAGTACCCTAACATGACTGTTCAGTAAGTGATCTTTCAAAGGGCCAGATGGTCCCCACAACATGCTTTTTACCTGTTTATGAGCACCTCTATTCCTTGTTTCTTAAAAATCGCAAATCTATTAATAGTTCATCAAGGATTGTTCCCAAGTATATAATGTTAACTCACAGACCTATAATCTCCCTGACCCTTCAATACCGGAGTGCTTTGGGGCTCAGTGATTGGATCTCTTCTGTTTTTATCTACTCCCTTGATGATCTCATTTGGCCTTATGGCTTTAAACACATCTATACACCTTTATACACAACATTTTTATCTCTAGGCCAGACTTTCCCCTTGAATCTCAGAATTATAGATCCTACTGTTTACTTGGTGTCTCTTTTTGGATGTCTAACGGACATGTCAATCCTAATTTGTCTAAATCTTTGCTCATACTTTCAATGCATCCTTTTCCTTCCTGTGCTCCCCATAACCCACACCCCTCCGTACCCCCGCCACACACACACACGCACGCACACACAATTTGGCAGTCTTCCCATTGCAATAAATGACAACTCTATTCTTACCAGTTACTCAGACCAAAAACAGGAGTCATTTTTGATTCTTTTCCTTTAATCACACATCACATTAAATCCATCAGGAAATTCTCTTGGGTATTTCTGGAATCCTGATACCACCCCTCCACTGTGGCCACCCTGGTCTAAGCCATCATCTCTGACCTAGAAGATTGCAGCGGCCTCCTAACTTTCCTCCTACAACCTGTGCTCAAAAATCAGCCCCGAGTTGTTAAATCCTAGATCAGATCATGTCATTCCTCTGCTTAAAACTCTCCAGTGGGTTCCCACCTCACCCAGAGTAAAAGCCGACGTCCTCCCAATGGCCCACAAGTCTGCAGATTCCACACTTGGCTGACCTCATCTAGTACTACTGTCCCCTCGTATGACTCCAACCACAGGCGATTCCTTCCTGCAGGGACCTTTGTGCTGGCTCCTCTCTGGACTAGTCTTTCTTCCCTTAGACTTTGTCCCTCCCTTCCTTCAGGTTCTCATCTCAAGTTTTTTCTGAGCTCCTCTTTGAAGGCAACTTCCCGTTCCCTTCACCACCACCTCCACCAGCATTCAACATCATACCCCGTTTTCTCCTCGGCACTTACCACTGAACACACGCTGTACTGCACTTATCTTGTTTCTCTCCCTCTGCCCTTCAGTTCCTTCCTCCACCCTCCAGCCAGAACGGGAGGCGTTTTTACCTGTGTTCCTTGCTGTATCTCCCGCCCTACATTACCTGACACAGAGCTAGAACTCAAATTTGTTTAATAAACGAATCATACATTTACTTTAATGGGTGGAGCAAGGTGCTCTATAACAGATTGGAAAGATAAAAACAGACTTGTAATTGTCTTTATTTCTTGATGTTCAAATGATTACCTTTTAATGTATTTCTCATTCCATTTACACATGAATCATTTCGTTTTCATTAACTCCTTCACTGAAACACAGCATTGTAATCTGTATCCGCAAAACAACATACTAGTTCTAATCTTGGCATTTAACTTCAGGAAGGTGGTAATGCCTAAAATTTCCTGGAGTTCTTTTAGTGTTCATTAATCAAAAAAATGTTTGTAAACGAACCAGGTTACAATGCAGCAAGAACCAGCACTGGGTAATTACACACGAGCTAAGGAGCACCTTAGAGCTAAGTGTTCACCTGGGGGCCGCTGGGGTACTCCGTTTCCACCCTCCCCTCTGATCTAAGCGTCAAGCCTCTGGTGAAAGTATGGATGGGGTGTTCCAAGCCCCACAGAGCAGTCTTCACTACCAATAATACTGCAAGTTTATTTCTAAGGACATATTAAGAGAGATAAGGAATGTGGTATTTTCTAAAGCACAATTACTCCAGGGAATAAGGAAATATTTTGGAATATGGTTTTATTTCTGTGTACATTTATGGAACACTGAAAACGCCATCTCAAGCTTCCAAAGTACAAAGTTTTCTACAGTGGACTGTACACGTGGTAATGATAAGCTCTTTGGCTTAGCTTAGCACAGAACACAATACCAGATCATACTGGATAAATGCTAAGAATAAGACATGTACAGGCCAATTATGATTTTGCATTGTATTAACTCTGTTACTGGCTTAATAAATGTAAAAATATTTATCGAAAAGCAAATAAAAATTCCAATGAAACTGTAAGTAAAATTATTTTATTTTCATAAATAAAAGATAATTCATTATACAAATAAGACTTTTAGCAGAGTATGTTAGCTATCATTATTCGCTTGAAACTAAGTATGAAATCTCTGCAGTAGTCAACACAAATAGTTACATCTCTCTAGAACCTTCATGCAACTTCTTTACATTTGTTAACTTTCCAAAATTTCCAACACTATGTCAAAGGATATGATAAATAATGGGATATTTTAGTCATAAAGTATCACTTTTGCTGAATCAACAGAGTATTTATTATCTGCTTATGTCAAAGTTGCCAATTATGGATTAAAATACCTGTATTTACTGCATTTTATAGAAGCACTGAGCATGTTACATGTTTTCATTCCATACAAGGTAGTGTGACCCACGTCAATGTGAAAATCTAGTAGCTAGGTTAATAAGCAGTAGTACGTAAGATAAACAGATCCTATAGGCCAAGAGTAATACGCTGGCATCAAGCGCTGTTCCAAATTTTCAGTAAATGGCATATCACCAGCAGGCAAATAATTTTGTTAGCAAAATACAGTGAAATTTGATAAAAATGTTTTTTCTATAGACAGCAAAATAAAATTAAATTGTCTCTTCAGTTATTACTCCACTTATTCTGGAAACTGCAGCTTCAAATATGCAATGTTTTTTTACAGCCAGGAGTGTTTCCATATATTATTTTCAGTAGCATTTCCATAACATTAAAAAAAAACTTGCTCTCTGATTCTACGTATCTTTTTTCAAGTGTAAATTATGATTTAAATAATCATTTATTTGAACACAATATTGATTTAGAAAGGCATAATCTATTCATTCTTCATAATGAAGCGTTTATTCCTATTTCAACACTTCATGCAGATTTGACTTATTTCTCACGGAGTTGCTGTGTGGATTCCAGGGCTTGTTTATGGAAGGATTCAGCACAGTGCCTCGCACAGCCTAAGCTCTCAATATACACTACTACTATTATTTCTATTAAGGAACCAATCCATTTATAATAGGCAAATTCGCTAACACCCCAGGAGAACAATCAAAAGAAGACAAACATACCAATGTATGACTTTTGTTAACATATTAAGCATCCACTATACCCCAAGTCTGTATATATACTAATTGTTGCAAATATTATAAACTATGCTAAAATGACACTGTTTCTGTTTGCTCTGTTAAGTTTTTGTATGGCCTCCAGCCTCCAGCAATACATTTCTGACAGGATGTGTATATTAGAAAACCACATGAAAGAAAAGTACACTGAAATCAGGTAACGAAGGCATTTTACTCTAACTTGAACAAAGAAGTCGAGAGTTACCAGTGTGTATTCCAGGATAATCCGTCTCCGTTAGGTTTCAAGTTTTTTCTTCACATCATGCAGTATTTGACTTCTGCAAAAACCTTTCATTCTGTCTTCTCCCATATAGAAACATGACAGGCTGTGACAAAGTTCTCTCCTTTAAGTAAAAAGCCCATTAGAAAGGTGCTTGTAAAATCATTGCAGGTTTATGGAAACTGAAACGAAGTGGAGGGCTACACAACATAGGAGTAAGTTCTTAAATGGTCTCAACATACCTGTAAACACCAATTTTTCAGTAAATTATAGACTGAAAAGTGTGGAAGGGATTTGGTATGAAGATTTTCTGATGTTTAACTATATAAATAACTTTCTTTTTCCCACCAGAAAAGTTCACTGACTCAGAACATAACAAGTCTATGCTACAATTAACAAAACGGTGAAGGAAAAAACTGTCAAAAACAGACTCCTGTCATTCTTGTGGTATCAAATAAGAAGAATAAACGTTTTTTGTGAAGACAAAAAAACATACCTAAAACCACATGGTTTTGGCCTATAATATATTAACCTGTAACTTATTACTACCCAGAATTCAGGGTGCGGGGGGGAACACCCCAACCCTCAAATATGCCCATCAGAGGCACAATAAAATCTTTCACACGTTGTCCTGGTTAAAAAGGAGTGTGGAAACAAAGATTGACACCTCTCCACTACATTAAAAATCAAGAACAAATAGACTGAAAGCAGATTCCCTCTGAATGTACTAAATTATTCTGCAGGCTTCAGAGAAATCATTTCAAGAAGTAGGAACTGAAGTTCATGGTTTCATCTTATCTACTAGTAGAGAAATTCAAAGTGCACACCATATGGATGGATTTTAGGAGATGTAGCACCCAGTGTCCTTTTGAGGTTTAATATCTGGTTCTTTCACAGGTTTTACAGCTTCTTCTGGTTTGGGTTTGGTCTAGAGAGAAAGAAAAACACAGTGTAAGAACATAAACGAAGCTTTGGAAAACAAACACTAAATCTTTTTTCCACTTCAGATTTTTAAAAGATGCTATATTAAATTACACAACACTGAGATTAATGAATTAGCTATTCCAGAAGCTACATATGGATTTAAGAGATAACCGGAAAGCAACATTTCAGTGAGGATGAAAACCTGGATGGGTAGGCGAAGATCAAGCTAACAGTACTCTTATTCTTTCTGTGGAGGGGCAAACTGTGTGATGAATCTATGCATGGGGAACCCCTTAACTTTGGAAATCACTCATGATAGTAATAGGTTACCTCTTAGGGCATTATTTTAGAGGCTAGACAGGATAATGCTTTTAGTATAGGGAGGAAATTATATAAAGTTATATAAAAACCATCCAATTTCAAGAAAAGAGCTATGGCTACAAAATTCCCATTCCTTTTTCACAGATCCCTCCTTTTTCAGAAGTTAAACCTCAACACTTCCACTTAATCCACCATTTGATTTAGTTAACCAAGATGTGCTTAGACACAAATGAATAAAGGCGGTCTTATTTCACTCCTGGATGATTTCGTGAACTGTTGAACTTAGGTCAAATCTTCAAATGCCCTGCACTATGCTAAATCAGAAACAGAGAACATTGCTATAGCAACATACAGATAAACCGTCCTTCTTAGATCCCTTCTCCCACTTGTCTTAAAGGAGGCTCTGACAAATTGGAAAAAAGGCAAGGTAATATGTTGAAAACAACGTCTGTCAATTAGCTAGACAATCAGAAGACAAGGCCTATAGGTCATCTCTCAGAGTTCTACAACAGATTACACCAAGCACTGCAGCTAAGTAATTTAACACCTACACAAACATATATATCTGCTTATATAGAGAATAAGGTCAAAACGCTAACTCTGAGTTCTTTCTAAACTTCTGTGAATGGAAAAAAAACCCAATTTCGTACACTGTCATCCTTGGGTCTCTTGGTGAGATCAAATGCAGCCAGCGTTTCCGGTGTCCAGTGTGCACTCGTAGGAGGAAATTCAAAAGGAACAGGCTCTACAAGACCATAATTTGCTTTGAGTTCCAGTTGTGGGGCTTCTGTTGGAATTTTTTGAAAGTAACTGCAAAAAGTAATTTAAACAGTGATTCATTCATTTGCTCGTCAACTACTTGATACCTATGATGTTCAAGGCCCTGGGCGAGAAAACAACTTAATGAAAAAGATATTTTCTTACCTCAGCTAGCTTACAAATGAGTAGGTGAGATAGTCAAGAAACCTGTTAACTACAATGCAATGTAACTGAAGCTATGAAGAATGGAGAGTGCCATGAGCACACAAAAGAAGGGCAATGAACCCAGATTGGGGGGTTTCAGGGATGCTTTCCAAAGGAAGTGATCGAATTTAAAACGTGGCAAGTTCAAGGAAGTAAGTGACCAGAGGCAGATTACAAGGGGAAGAATGTAAAGAGACAAAAGGAGAGATAAAATTGATTCTACCGTCTTACACAGGGAGGTAGTGATCAACAGTTTGAAAAATGCTGATTTAATGATGGGAAATGGCTTCACTGACGGAAAATTTCCCTGCTTTACTAGTATAGGTAGCTGGCACCAGAGTGAGATGAACATGCAAAAGGAGCTGAGAAGATATTGGGTTGTCGGAAGTCATTGGCACATTTTTGCAATGAAAAACATAGAAAAGTACATCATGACTTTTCCGACAACCCAATATACATAACATATGGAGAAGGAAAGGCAGGAAAACGAAAAGAAAATTAGGACAGCACAGGAAGCTGTGTTTTAAGAATTCACATTTACAATTTAAAATCTGCTTTTCTATATCATCATTAGAAGCAGAATAAAAGTTAGGTCCAACACAAGTGAACTTTATTACCAATTTAAAGACAAGCTCAATACAGTCAGCCCTCCTCATCCGCGGACCCCCCGAAACAGTGCATCTGTTTACCAAAAATAGTCTGCGTATAAGTGGACCTGAGCAGTTGGTTGAGAGTTAACTGCATACTACTATTAATATTACTAAAATAATACTGAGTTCTACTCACATAAATCCATTTTCTCTCTGACATTTTTCTAGAGTATTCTTCACAAGACTTCCAAGTTTCCGAAAGAATAAGTGTCCCGAAGGTTTGGCTGTTGGTCCAGGTCCTTTGGTTTCTCCATATTCTTTGCACAATGCTTCTGCCTTGGCATAAACTGCACATGAAAGGGATAGAAAGTCATTTGATTATCATTTTTGATTATTATACTAAAAAGGCTTTAAATCACAGAGGAAAGGGAATTTTACTACTCTTTACCTAGTATGATAGCAATACCAGTAGTGCGAGGGGAAGGTGGGTCTTTTGTATAGATTCTAGATGTTTGAAACAATTTTTCCTTTTCTCCAATTACTTCCCTCATTCTCCTGCCCTTTCAGGAACTCAGTTAAAATCTCTTTGAAGTGCCTCTCCCCTTGATAAAACATTTGTTTTTAAAAAGGGAGTTCACGTTCTGGCAGAAATACTTACATTTTTCTGCTTCTTGGAGAGACCGGATTGCTTCACCACATTTATCACTAGCCAACAAAGTCTGACCGTGGTAACAGTAAGCCTGATAAAAGAAACAAATCTGCATTCGTTTTTTGCCCAAATGATGCTTTCCACTACCACTGTTTTATATATGCAGCAGATAAATTGATGCCTCTGTCCAATGTTTGAAATATCAATGCGATCCCTTACATTTATGTACTTGAATGAGCTTTCCCCCATCTCTGTTAGTATCAAAAGTAGAATTATCTCACGCCTTTGAGCCAAACCAGCCTTCCAACATGGGCTGAGAACAGAAAGTAGTTGCTGAAATCTGCTTTTAAAATTCGGGCACAGATAGAGGAAGGCAATTACTGTGCTAATGCAGAACAGGAGGTAGGGAGGATGGAGGTTAAGGACTAAACATGTTTTAAGAGAAATGCACCAGCCTGAAGTTGGACATGTTTGCTCCCAATGTCCCTATCAGTGCAACGGTAGCACATGGTCTTACACAGTATGCTTGAAAGCAGATTAGAAGGCGTGAGAAAGAAAACCATCTACCTAAATCTGAAAGAGGTTTTTGATGATCTCTCTCACCTGATACTCTAGCCAACAAAATAAGTTTGTTTGGTGGGTATCAAAGACTAAAAAGCAACTTCTCAAAGAGTGCTTAACAGTTCTTGACCAACCCAGGTGATATATTGTGTGGTATGCCTTAAGATTTGAATTAGTAAATATCTTTCTCAATGTAGAGGATGAAATGAGAGAACTCTTATTAAGTACGCACAACTTCCAGCTTAAAAGTAGGTTTAAATCAAACAGTAACTCCATTGCCAGAATCCAGTTCTATGATTCTACTTCGTCTCTTTCCATCCACTTGAGTTCACAATGGCTGCACAGACTGCCTGTGATCACTTACTGAAAGCTGTCCATTATTTGTAAAATGCTAATTAAGAGTCTGGTGAGATGACAGACCTGGCACTCAAGGGGTTGGAGAGACAGTAATTTACATTGTTTTAGAGTTATAAATACTTACATAAGCTGTGTAGAAACACATTTTCAAGAGAAGGTATTTTCTCCATTTAGCAGAGTAGGCAGGCTCCAAACTGGATAAAGTATGATCTAAAGTTACATTTTAAAAAGCGAAATATAATTTCACCCTGATTCACTAGAAGACTTTTAGTTCACATGTTCAGATGCTAAAAGCAGAATGCCATTCAAGTCTAAGCCTCAAGCATTTATACATTTTTTAAAAACCTCATTTTTTTAAAGGGATTTATTTTTTCCCATAAGCATATTTTAACTACATAATAAGATTGGTTAAATACCACGGCCCCTCTTTGATTTGATGGTTAAGGTAACTTAAGTTTAACATACGATAAACACAGATATAACTAAGAACTTCAAGGTAAATACGAGTTATATTATCTTTTAAAAATTTATGTAATACAGCAATGCAGAGTAGTCTAGTCACCAAAGTCAGCAACATCCAGGGTACGCTCTCATTCACCACCCCACCACTGAATCTCGTATAATACACAACTCACACATCTGCCAAGTATCTCTCACATCAATTTCTTCTCTCCATTTCCCTTCATCTAGCATGCCCATTTCTCATCTTGCAACCATGGGGACCATTCTTAAATTCAAATCCAATCAAGTCAGATTTACTTTATCTTCTAATGGATCCCAAACATCTACTGAATAAAGGCCAACTTCTTAGATGGACCCACAAACCAATTCATGATCTCTCACATGCAGACTTTCCTAACCTTTTCTCCTATCACTAACCGATCCAGTGTTTCAGCTAAGAGTATCATTTGTCTAAAGGTCCTAGAATATGCTAAGTTTTCTTATCTCTGTACATACCACAGAATGTTCCCCTCTTCCCATACACTAAAGCTTCCTAGAAAATGTAGAACTTCTATTTGTATTTCAAAATAAGGCTAAAGCACTACCTTGCTCTAGGAAGCCTAGAAGCACGCCCAAATCCTTGAGGTTTTTATTTCACTGCTCTGACGACATCTCGTTTATTTCCTTCTTTAATAATATGGTTATATACAAACTTGTCTCCTTCTCTAGACTGTGATTCTGTCCTACTGATTTCTGTATAACCAGCAACTAAAATAGTAACCATCCCATAAACAGAAAACACATGCCTGTTTCCTAAATAAGTGAATGAAAAGAAAAACAGGCTAATAAGACCCGAGCTCTAGTCTCCGTTTCCCATCTGCTAGCAGTTAAAATATGGGATAGTTATGTTAATTCTCTGGGTTTCAGTCTCTTGTCTAAATAAAGATAGTAAGTAACAAGAAAGTTACTACAAAGACAAAAAAAAAAATTTCAAAAGCAAAACAGCTGTTTATTAGTATAACTGGTTAAAAGGTATGAAAGGGCCGGCTGAGTGGCTCAGTTGGTTAAGAGCTCGCTCAAGAGTTTGAGCTCTGAGCAACAGCGGTTCGAGTCAGCCCGAGCTGAGCAGCCGTGAGCTGCCAACAGGTGGCAGGATGGCTCAAAAAAAAAAAAAAAAAAAAAAAAAAAAGGTATGGTATCATCCTTTCCATTAGAAGCTATGTACCACATTAACTTGGAACATCATTAATTCTTTTATTTCCTTTTAAACAAAATTAATAAAAATAATGTAGCTATTATTCCTGTTTTCAAATAATAAAAACAATCTCAGAATCTTTTTGATTTGCTTGTTCCCTATTTAGACAAGAGAGTAATCTGAAAATTTAGACTAAAAAATATATCAGAATCATAAACTTACCAGCTTTTTGATAGAAATTGGCTGTTTCATAGGCCAGAGCAGCAATTAATCCTGGAGCATGTTTTAGTTCAATTGCTCGAGCAATTGTTACTGTAACGAAAGCACAATAAAATGAATACATAATTAACTTCATTTGCATTAACTCTAAATTCCATTAAAGGGCAAAAGACAGTCCCACAATTTATTTGGGATTTTAATACAGTGTGTTAAAAGTTCCAACATGAAAAGTAAGCTACAGAAAATGCAAACATAAACAGAAAATACTGAGCTTGTTGGTTCTGATGCCATTTCTTTAAATAAATCACTAGCCAATCACTAGCTGATCACGGAAAATTACTACTACAAAATAGCATGATGTAAGAGGAAACAAATACTTTCAGGGCACTGGAGTTTGGAATAAAGAAAAACAAAAGCCAACAAAGTTTCTCTATTGTTTTCACGGAAGTCTGCATTTATTTCCTGTTATTGAAAGGTGAAGATTTCATGGTAAGCCAAATAGTGGAAGAGGAAAAGGAATGAGAAAGGTAGAGGGAGAAGACATGAGCTACAGAATTGATTTTATGCTGTCAGAAATGACTTGAAATCAAAATCATCTTAAAAACAGCCGTTCAACTGGGAGGCCTTTTCTGGCTAACTAAAAATTGGGCAAATGTTAAAGGTAAAATTATTCCTCACTATAAATTTCACAAAACCCAAAACCCTATTCCAGTTAATTCTGATTTAAAAGAAAAAAAAAAAGGAATTAAATGCCAATATAGTCTTCCTTAAAAAAAAAAATCTTACAATATTTAGGATACCTTCTTGAGCTTCAGCCTGACACTGGATAATATATGCGTCTACGAGTCGTGCTTCTAAATCTCTTCCCTTTTCCGCAGGTGTGATAAGCTTTGGGATATGACTTTCCTGAGAGAGAATGAACAAAAAAAAAAAGCCCAATTTATTTTAACCCAGTTGTGTGAGATAAAGAAAATGGAAGTTGAGAACATTCAGTATGGGGATTTATCAGAAATTTAGGGTACTAACAAAAAATGTGTAAAACAAGAAGAATATTAAGCTTACAGAGAATAAAAGCTCCTGCATACTAAAACTTTTAAAGCTTTTTATAAGGTTTTGTAAAAACAAGAAATTCAAGAGCAAAATTTGGGTCATAATAGATTGGTTCGATATATCAGTCTTATTCTCATCTCAGAAAATGTTTAACTGAAACAGTAACCAAAGTTCCCTTTTGCATGACAGCCAGATAATTTACATCTACAGTTATCACAGCAGTAACTGTAGATATAAAAGACTGCAATTCTATAGCTCATCCAGGGCCACAACTTTGTCATCACTCTACAAGCACCTTATTTTATCACAAGAAAACCCAACACTGGCCTTCAGGAGGCCCTCAGTAAACAGTGGAATAATTCTGCTTGAAAAATACATTCATCTTTCCCAATTCCTATCAATCTTCAGGCAATTTAATACAATTAGTGTGTATCGATCGCCCCTCTAGCGTTTTCGCTGAGATACAGAAATGACAATCAGAAGTTCAGTGCTGCAGAACAAGACTGCTCCTGCCACTGCTGTAGGCAGCAGTGGGAAATGGTACGAGCCACCCATTTTTGTGCTTTGCTTTCCTGTCTTTTCAGAAGAGACAGAAAAACAAGCAGTGAATTACAACTTGAAATTTCTAATTGTAAAATGCACTGATTTTCTAAAATGGAGACATTTACTATTTTATAATTGACTACACTCACCAACGAGGTACTTATTAACATATGGAAAAACAGAATACATGCTGGTTCCTTTTATATAATGAAATAATTCCCCCCCTTGGCCCTCCACAAAGATAGAAAGAAAAATTCAAACACTAAAGCATTAAGAACATACTTTATAAATATTTTACCTTTAAATGTGTAAAAATCCCAGCTGCAATTTTCAGGCTTCGATGGACCTGTTTTGCTTCCTCTTCTGTGACACTTAAAGACAGTGGTTACATCACTCAGGGGACGAAGCCCATTTCTGGTGTTAAAACCAACAACTACTACATTCTCATAAAACCTAATTAGCCATTTGTGTCTCACTAGTTATCTTCCTTTCAAAACATCTGACACTTAAAGTGACAAATGCACATGAAAAACATCCAAAGAAAAGTGAATACAAATGGAAAAAAAAGAAGCCCTGTGTAGAGGTCTGGACAAAGGCTTGTTTTTTGTTGCAGATAATCTTCTGTGCATACAGGCATAAATTACACACCGAATGCATACACTCACTTAAAAAATACATACGTACACAGCATTCGCTACTCTGCTTTTGTTTTACTCACCTAAATCACTTCAGAGTTAATTTTACAGCAGCACATAAAATCCAACTTCATTTTTAAATGGCTGCATATTTTTCCCAGGTTTAGACACATCATAGTTGGTAGCTGCATTTCGTATTGTTAATATCCACTTTCACTATTATGAAAGCTGTACCTCATTTTATTTCACAATTCCTTAATCCTTCAAAACATCTCTTGCATACTTATAAGCCTTCATATTTCTTTTCTGTGAATTGCCTGTTTATTTCTTTGCTTACTTGCACTTGATTTGTTGGTCTTTTCCTTGCTGATGTGTAAGAGTACACATTATAAAAATAATTTGTCACATGCACTGCAATTTTTTTGACCCATCTGTTATTTGTTTTTAAATTTTGTTTGCAGGACTTTTATATAGTCACATATCCAATCTTTTTGTTTTCTTGGTTTGGGATTTTATTTAGAAGGACCTTTCCCATGACAAGATTATTAAATTATTTTTTTGCCTTTTCACACTAGGCTCCATAATTCTGATACTTCTAATACTAACATTATGAGGTCAACCTCTCCTTTATAAGAAGTGGTACTTTTTATCAAAAGCCTAGACTTTTAACTACGAAGCTCCATATATTGGAATAACACATATGCATATACCGCCCCCCCCCTTAACTTACTTTTCTTTTCCAGCCAATCTTGAAGCATATTTGGTGTACCACAAAGCTACATTAAATCCCATGGAAATTAATTCAAAAACAGCATCCTGCTGGGCACTAGAATTATAAACATGATCATTAAGGTCTGTCAATTATGGAGACATCTCTACACGAAGCTTACTACACATCCAACTCAAAATTATAAAGACTACATGCTACTGGAAAATGAAGGAAACAGTCCTTGAGTTTAATATAGATGGGGAGATAAGACACACACATGTAATTAACAATGAATGACTGAACACAATGGCCCAGTACATACTTCATAATAGTAAACATGAGAATAGTAGTTATTCCCCAAGGGTTATAGAGTAGTTTTAAAAATACAGATTTCTGGGACTTAACCCCAGCAAGTCAGAAAGTCTGGGAGGGGCCCAGATTCTGTATCTTTGACAGGAACCCAGCTGTTTCTGAAGCAGGCGATTCTTATACTACATCATAAGAAAAAGGAATTCAGAGACATCATTTCAGGCGAGAACGATTACAGAAGGCTTAATGGTATACACAGAATCTGAATTGTGCCTTGAAAGATGGCTCGAAGGGAAGCAGAAGGACATCCCTGGTGAGAAATGATGCTGTTAAAGTACAAGAAAGTATAAAGAGTTTTGAGAGCAGAGACCCAACTAGCTTGATTGGAGCAGATGGCCTGTGAAAAGAAATCGAGGAACAAATCGAGACAAAAAGCCAAACTGAAGTGACACTGGAGAAGGTTCTGAATGCCAGGCCAATCACTATACTACAAAAAAAAAAAAAGGTATTAAAAACAAGTATATTTTATATCTTGTTTCCTTTGGATTCTATTACTAAGTATGACACAATAACACAAAGGTGGCAAAAGCTTATTAAGCAAATACTAATTTTTAATCACTATTGTTCTGATAAGACCCTGAAAATTCTTTATACATTATCTCATTTATCACAAATGATGAAGTAAGAAAACAGAGGTAATACCCTTATTTTACACATGTAATACTAAGACACAGAAAAATTACCCGAAGGGAAGCAACTAGAATCATGATTCTACTTTGTATTTTTTAATTTAACTGTTCCTCCATCTTAAAAAGAATGGAGACATGGACACTTTTTAGATTTACAAAAACATTTAATAAAAATATGGTAATTCAAAAATAATTTATAAACCATCTTGCTTAATATGTTATACAAAAACGAACAGTTATGACAAGTTTCTTAAAACAGTTTCACCTTGTTGAAAAAAATTTAATGCATGGTTTAACAGCTTATTTTCTCAGCTTTGAGAGCTTTCAAATCAATCATATCTGGTTATCTAGTAGACATATCTAACTTCATTTGAATAATAAGACAGTTTTGCTAATTTATATGAAGTTTCATGAATAACTCCCTTTTATCCTTTGTTTATTTCCATCTGCCTTGCTCCCAAAGACTCCACTTCTATTGTACTTCATGTAAGCAGTGGTAAGAGTACATCGAGATGATACGGTGCACTTTCTATTGAATAAGCATTAATAGTAATCAAGGATAGAGTATCTTAAAAATCTCCTATGTACTGAACATTCAGTATTATTACTTATGGCCGTCATCACGTAATTCTTCACTGTCTTATAAAATTATGTTGAAAAATGCTGTTACAGAAATCAAAATTTGGCATGGTAGGAAAAAGTGCCAAATTTATGTAATGTAAAACCACTTGAGAATCCGCCAAAGTTTTATAAAGTAATAATAGAAGGTCTGATTCTTTAAAAAAGTCTTTGTAGAGAAAAACATTCCGTTATTTTAGATGAAGTACAAAGGGGCCACAGAAAGAAAAACAGGCAAATGAGGACTTGAAAAACTTTAGTATCCCAGAATATTAAAATGAGAAAAGGATCCACAGAGCCCAACTTCCTACCCAATTTATGAATTCTACATACAATATTCCCAAGGAAAGAAGGGAAACTAGCGTCTATTGAATGTCTATTATGTGCCTGGCATTACAGTTACTTAACATAAATTTTCCTACTTTGTTCCTCACGAAAGCCCTATTATCCATAACCCTGCAACACACAGCAGAAGCAGATGCGCACACCCTGAAGACCTGAGGTCGCTTCTATTATAGTTAGGTGTGAATCCTGAGTCCACACCCACCCCCTGTAATGCTTGCCCTAGTCTCCATTTCCTTCCCTTGTGATTTTATAAAACAGTAATTCTACAGCAAATTGAGATAAAGATACATGACCATTTAAACAACCCATGGTGTAAAAATAGAAGTAGCTAAAGAACAATTTAGCACCGTTATGATTTGTCTTGTTCTAATTAGATCTCTTCTAGTTTTGCGAGAGTGATGAGAAAGTTCTGAGGGGAAGTTTTTAAAAAGAGCAGAAACAGTGAAGAGAAATTAGGAAGCAAACAAATACTGTGAGTCAAAAGAGGACGGAGCTGGGGTGGAACTGGGGAGAAAGTGAAAAAGCAAGAGACTGACCAAAGACATCTGAACTTTCCATCAGAAAAGCAAAAGTCAGGGAAAAAACAAAATTCTGCTCTGCTTGAATGTAGGCAAAAACTGAAAGCTAGCTTTGGGTTCCAAACTCCCAAACCATTCTCTGTTTTATTGAAAGTTAAGGCTCTTCAATTTCTAGTGAACATTTATACTGATTATCTCAAAAATAGATCTGGTCCAGGAAAAACAAATTATAGTTTTACTTAATAGAATGTATTAGGAGTTTAGGTAAAATGAAAAAAAAATAATAATTTCCTGGGAAGAGAAAATGCTAGTCAGATCTGAATTTTATTTCTTCAAATACAGGGGCTATGAGTTAACCACTGGCTAAACAGTTACAAAAATGACTTCCAGTGCTCGCTTCAGCAGCACATATACAAAAATGACTTCCATTTAGTACTGTTAACATTTTTTTTTTCTTGCTTACCTGGGAACCTGTCCTTGTAGCGTATCAGTCCACTTGAAATTTTGAATATATCGTAACTTGCTTTCTTGGCTAGATTCGTCCGATGAATTTATGAAACCTTTAAAAAGGTACAAAACAGTTCAGTTTTAGAAGAAATATCAAGTGTTCTATTGAGAACAATTTTCAGAACATGACTTTTCCAGGTACCTGAATGAAACTCCTATCTCCTCTCTCCCTTTCTGTATCTCACACTTTCTCCTAAGGTAACACAATATGCAATATGTACTAACTGAACTTTCAAAATGTCAGAAAGACCACCCTTCCATTCTCACATTTCTGAACCTCTAAGCATCCCACAGAATAACTCCCAGAACTAATATTAAATGTGAACTCCTGCACAGTTGTCTTTTAAAAACTCCGTTTGTATAAGTCACTAACCTTGTAAAAGGGAAAAATATGAATCTGCTGCATTCTTCATCATTTCTGGATTACAGCTCAAATCAGTGAACAGCTCAAGCAGTCGAGCTCTGGATGATTTCAAGTCACTTAGAAGATACAGAAACACTAATGTTAAGTACGCTGTATTACAATGACTGTGTAAAAGTGGCTTAAAATTTTCAAATGTAAAAGCTTTACAACACACACATGTATTACTAAGTACACAGGAAGGAACTGAATTAGGACTAACACTGGAGATAACTGAAATTTCTAGTAACAATTGTCTTAAAAGTTGATTTAAACTCAGTCCAATTCAAGGGGTAAATCATGGACATAATTATGTAATTATGTAAAAAAAACATACAGCAAGTTTTCATTTTAAAAAAATCAAACAAACACGAGGAGAGGAGGAAGGAATTAAGAATGAGTAAACTAAACCGACCAGTTCATGATAAAAGTATTTTGAAAAATGGAAATTTACATCTTTGTGCATGATTTTAGTATCGCCTTATAATTTCAAAATTTGACATTATGTCAAAATATACTTTAAGTAGGAAACCTATTTTAAAAATGAAATCGCAGTCTACAATTCAATATGCACATAGAGAACATGTAAAAATACGTGGCCATTAGCCCTGTAAAATGTCTCCATCCTCCTTTACTTCTCTGCAGCAGGAAATGCTGCAGATCCGTACTTCCTTCTAGAAATTTTCTCCCTTGATTCCAATTACACTAAAATACCCAGGTTCTCCTCTTATATCTGGAAGCTGCTTCTATATATTTCTTACGTCCCCTTCTTATTTATTACCACCTCCCCAAATAGTCAGTCTCTGGCTTCCCACTTTTCTCTCTCTTGAGGGCTCATCTATTAGTACAACTTGATAGCCAATCCTAGATCTACATCATCAGCTCTGACTTGTTCAGTTTCGCATCTAATTTCAGAAGGCAACTTGCTTAGTGAGGGTTCCAGAAATCTTATTAAATGGACAATGACTGAAGACACTCGTGTGTAAATGACTAAAGAAAAACCAAATTTAAATTGTAAATTTAAAGAGAGAAGGGACTGTATATCCAGAATTTATTAGGTGCCTAGGACAAAGCACGTGCTCAATATTCTTTGACTGAAAGAATACTAACATTTCAAGTATTTTAAGATTTTAAAGGGCTGAACTGTTGCAGGGCTGTTTAGAAGAGAGTACAGACTTAATCTTGAATGGTCTGGATGGAGCGTTTATTATTCACTGGTACCAGCACTTAGGAGGCTTATTCCAAGAAAGTATGTACCAACAATTATCTACAGCTGAAGAAAAATGGGATGGGATACCTTATGAATCTGTCAGTTTTGAGTTATTTAACTGGAAGGTGGGAAGAAGTAATTCCTGGGCTAGGAGAAAACGTGAATTCTTAAGGCTGACTCTAAACTCAAATAGTTTGCTAGCTGTTTCTAGGTGGATGCTCAATCATCACCTGCAACCTAATTTATATAAAGTTATATTCGTCTTAAAAGTATAGAATTTGAGAAAAATGTACCTTAGAAATATTTAATTTAGGCCGTTCATTTTATAGATGTGTAATAGACTCAAAGACGTTACAAGACTTGCCCAATGCTACACATAAAACAGTTCAGCTGGAACCAACTTCTAGGAGTTTAAGATTAGGGTTGGCAAATTATAATCTGTAACGTGTTGTGTGGGTGTGCATGTGTGTGTGTGTGTGTGTGTGTGTGTGTGTGTGTTTGTGTAAAAATGAACAAAGAAAAATATGCAACAGCAACTATATGTAGCTCACAAAGCCTAAAATATTTACTATTAGCCCTTTAAAGAAAAAGTTTGCTGACCTCTGGTCCACACTAATAAGCCAGTTGTCCTATCTTTTGCTCCAATTATGTCTTCCCACAAAATGCAGCAACGCTCTTGATTTTCCTTTACTGGTACCATCAATGTCTTGATCATCTAGTTTCTGTGTCTCATAAAGACTGAACCCTTTTCAGCTTTCCAGAGCATATCAGTCAATCTGGCCAGTTGACTCCTTTGAAATATCTCTTACATCTGAATCTTTTGTTCCAAACTGCTCTACCCACTATTTCTAGAATAAAGGTTTTCTTGACAGAAATGACTTTCTCTTCTCCCTTCTTACTATCTAAATCAGGGGTCAGCAAAATTTTTCTGTAGGCTCAAAAGTAAATATTTTAAGCTTTGTGGATCATAAAGTCCCTATTGGGACTACTCAACTCTGCTGCTGTAAAGAAACCAAAGGCAATATGTAAATAAACAGGGGTACAGCAGCTGTGTTCCAATAAAACTTTATTTATAAAAAGAAACAGTGGGCCAAATCTGCAGGATCTAGTTTGCCAAACTCTGATCTAAGCTATTCAATTTATTTAAACTCCAGCTCAAGTTCTTTCTCCTATATAAACGCTCTGAGGGTCACAGAGTTATCTCCCTGCTCCGAATTCCATGAATTTACTATCTGGTCAATTAACAACATCCACATACAGCTCTGTGGAATCTCTTGTACTATTGTAATATATAGCTTAACTCATATTGTGATTGCTTTAGCCTCTCTGGGACTCACTCATTGATCTGAAATTAAGGACCCTGGTGCAGATGACTGCCAAAGTTTAAATAATCTATGATTTAACTCTTCACATCATTTATAAGTGTATAAGGAGTCTAAGGTTAGGGACAGTGTGTTACATACTTGTGTATTGCCCATGGGACCTAAATAAGTACCTTATATCCAAAGGTGGCTTATTCAACACCTGTTGAGGTTGACTAAAACTTACCTGCAAATTTTTGAAGCAGCAGGACCAGTGACTACGCCATAGTAGTTAAAAGAAACAGGAGCTGTGGCTTTTAATGGATTCCTATGAAACCAATGTGTCATTTTCTCTAGATGTTTCCTATAAAGAAAAAAGTACATAATGTATAAAAATTAAATAAGACATGTAATAAACCATGTTGGTATGAAATTATTTTTTACATAAGACTTTGCTACAGGATATATAAAATACATGTAAAATATACATATATAAAAATAAAATGCTCCACTGTTATGAGTCAAATTTGTTCTGTTTATATAAAGTAGTCTATGTTTAGATCAGGCCTATTAAAAAACAGCATTTGGAAATTTGCCCACAATAATTGCAATGTTAAATATACTGGAACAGTCATGTTTAGACCTTCATGTACATGCAAATCAGCTGGAGGGCGAGGGGGTCTTTTAAAATACAGGTTCTATAATAATTCAACAGTCTGGGGTAGGATCTGAGATTTTGATGCTGCTGGTTCCCAAACTACACTTTTGAGGAGCAAAGTATTCGACTTTGATTGGACAGCTGCAAATGAGACGAGCACATGACCAGCTGAATGTAATTTCCAAAACAGGTTCAAATGGTGACCCGTATTTAGTCTGCTAAGGTTACTTGAGAGAAATCGGTTTTAAATTAGCTATACTTAAAAAAAACTTAACTATATTTCCCACATGATATTGCTGGCACCAACTGACAGGTTATAGTATGGGTTCTATAAATATACTTTACACAGAACAGCTAATAAGAACCAATATTTTCATGATAAAAAAAAATCCACGATATTTGATCCAGTACTTAAAAACCAAAAAAATTCAAAAACTACTCAAGTGAACTGCCAACTTAAAAAAATTAAGGTTAATTTTTTTAGGTTAAAAAAAAAAAAGAGTATGTCACTCTCCTAAAATTCCACGAGGGTAGATATTAATTTTACAGGAAGGCCCAGCTGAAGACTTAAATGTAGCAATTAGATTCCAGGAAGTAATCGATAAGAAATTTTGATCAAGTTTAATTAACTTGAAAGCACTATGCAATGTTGATCGACTTTTCTTAATGGGAAGAAAAGCGGGCTGCACAGGGTATAAAATACCTACTTTAAGTACCTCCCTTACGCTATTTACTTATTCATGACCAAACCGGTTTTAGAGAGCACCAGACACTTAATGAAGAGAAAATGCACTGTGTACGCAATGAAAAAACTGAGCAAGCTCGCTTGTGACTCAAAACATTTAACAAGTCCTTTTAAAAAATACACAATCTTCTAAACATGATCCATGTAAGCTTCCCTTCTAACCTGAGTAAACTAATACAGCGTGGACATGCACAGAAACCAAGCCTTGTAGAGACAACGGCAAACAATAACACACTTCATTTTGTGCCAGCAAATTTTTCTACAAATACTCTTTCAAGAAGGCCTCCCACTTCCTGGATAAAAATGTCTGCAGTTCTGTATGCCTATCTTCATTGCTAGAACCAAGAGAACAAGTATAGTATTCTGTACCCTGTCCCCCCGTTTCCCCTTTTTCAAGACTCGTTTTCAGGAATTCGCAGGGTGGGGTTGAAGGCCACGCCCACCTGCAGGTGCGAGCGTCTTTAGAGCCATCGGTACAAGAATAGATCGCTGTCACCTAACCCACTTGCACAGGACAACTCGATTACTGACACGGGTACCCCACTCTGGGGCCTCTGGGGCCCCAGAGGAACCTACCTGAGCAGCGCCCCACGAGCTCGGAGCCTCCACTTCCTGTTTACCACCAGCCTCTTCCTCCCGTGCCCGTCCCGTTCCAGGCAGCGGGCGCCGACCCGCGCAGGCGCTAACCTGAGCGCGCCCCTCTTTCTCAACAGGCATTTTGATAGAAAGTCGATACTATCCACCCGGGAGGGGCGGGTCGACGACCGCCCAACAAACCCCTATTTAGTTTATGAGCCCCCCCTACGCCAGTGGAGAAGCGGGCCAAGGGGATAATACCATTGATGTTGTTAATACCATTGATTCGCGGAGTCAATATGGATTTTCTCTCCTTCGTTGGTTTCCAAGTATAAGGAAGCTTTTGGGGGGGGGCCACTACCCAGGAGTCTACAGATTCGGTGTACAAGGAGGTGACCCCATTGCTTGGTACTGCGGGGGAACGACCGGGGCAGGAATATTACCGGGAAACACTCATCCTCTTGACATACTTACCGGATCTCTGGGAGTCTGGACAGCAGTCCTCCTGAGAGAAGAAAGGCAGGGTCCGAGTCTGCAAGCGAGAAAGGGAGGGAGGCGGAGAACTAGGCTACAGAGGCCGAGCGACAGGAAACCGGGCCTGCGCGGAGCCGGCGTCACGTGGTCAGGCGGCCATGACAGCGACCGAGGCGGCCGTGCGCGCCGCTGGAGGGCGGAGGCTGCCGCGTCGTCGCAGCCCCCTCCGGACGCCCGGTGCCTGGGCCCTTTCCTAGCTGCTCCGCCCTAGTCTTTCCTCTTTAGCTGCCGTCTATCGTCTCCGCAGACCAAGAGCAGAGGCGGAGCAGCCGAGAAAGATGCAATAGCGCCGGCGGCCGCTGGGGGAGCGGGGCGGCCTCAACCTAACCCGCGGGGCGGGGCCTCGGGGGCGGGGCCGCGGCGGGGCGGCCTCCTCGGAGCCGCAAAGTTTGGCTGTGGCGGCAAATGGGCTTGGGCGGCTCCTGGGCTGGTGGCGGTGGTGACCGTAGCGGTTCCTTCTGGCCCTGTTAATGTCGGGGCCAGGCCCGGGGAGGATGGCGCCCTAGAGCCCGGCCTCGCTGGGGTAAGGGGCGGGAGGGAACGGGGTGGGGACCGGCCATGTCGGAGGTGACCCGGAGCCTACTGCAGCGCTGGGGCGCCAGTTTTAGGAGAGGCGCCGACTTCGACTCTTGGGGCCAGCTGGTGGAGGCGATAGACGAGTATCAGATGTGAGTGACTAACCGCCGGCGCGGGCCAGATCGGCTCCAGTCGGCCGGCCTCCCCCTTGTTTCTGTCGGTGTCTCTCATCCCGGTATCTGCAGCCAAGGCTTCTCAGGGTGGGGCCCCGCAGGCACTGGGGCTGAGATCGCCCCGGCCGCGGAGAGGCTGCCTTGGAGACCGCCGTCTGCTCTCCGGGCTTCCTCGCCCGTCCTTCCCCTCCGCCTTCGCCTCCGCCAGGCCAGTTCCATTCAACAGGTAGCCCTTCTTTCCCGGGGCGCCGGCCCCAGCAGGCTACTGACTTAGACCCTTTCCACGGTCTCACGGGTCCCCCGCTCTGCAGTCCGTTTCCTTTCCTCCGCCTCTCTCAGGTTGCCGCCCCTCAATTTCTTTTAGAATCTCCGAGGAATAGTTGGGGTGTTCTCCGCCCACGTTCCAGGGATGAGTGGCTCTGTGCCTGGTGCCATCCGCCTCCCATGTGTAGGACAGGAGGGAGCTCACTGGTGGCGATTGAGGGGAGGGGGAGGTCCCCGGGAAGCAGCGAGGCGAGAGGTGCATCACCAGCCCCCCCCCAAGAAAAAGGGTCCCCTCTCGCGCCCCTTTTCCTCCACCCCTCTTTCTGGTGAGCCGTGTTTTCCCAGTTCACCTCGATTCCGTTTCGGTTTCTGGGACTGTTATTTGCTAGGCAGTGTGGGTCCCACCCACCCCCTCGCTCGGTTGCTTTGGGTGGAGTCCGCGCAGGATGTGAACAGAAGAGAGCAAAATGTGAATTAATAGACCACGCACGGGAGCCGCCACTCCCTCCTTGGGCCCCTCCTCCTTTTCCTGTGTGTAATGTATAGCCTCTGGGTACATGTGAGGACCAGTTGCTTTGATCGGCCCAAGTCCGATTTCTTTCCCTTTCTGGTTTCCCCCACACAACTTCAGGGGTGTGTTTTAAATTAAAAAACAACAACAACAAGATTTACGTACCTATAAAACCGTGCTTAGATTCTTGCACATTTCCCTGGAAATAACTGCCTACTAAAATGTTGTTTGCAAACTGTGGCCGTTCATTACTTCTTGGTTTAAAGCAAGTTATTGTTGGAGGCTTGACCATGTGTGAGTAAAATCTGGAAAGAATACACGATTGGCACACGGAAGATGTACATTCTTTATCCTTTCTCTACAATAGTTATTTGTTTTTATTTGCCCATTAAGGTAATTTAAATGTGTAGATGTTCTCTGCCCAATCTTACTGACCTAAAAACAGCCATGCACTGGGCCATTTTGCCATGTATAACGGCTACTAGCTTTTGATTTGCGCTTACACTTGATAGCATCTGCTCTTGCAACCACTCAGTGAGAATATTTATTCTCACTTTACAAAACGAGGAAATCAAAGGTCAGGTTAAACATTACCTAGGGTCACAAAACTATACCACTGAAATTTGAGTTGTGTTTTTTTTTTTTTTTTAGTTTCAAACTGTTCTACTGCCTAGTGCTTAAGACACTTAAGATGTGTTGTGTATGTGAATTGGACAAATTAGATTTCCTTCATTACCAGAGAACATACCTTACATACTGTGGGCAGTTAGTGAGCACCTGGTGCACTCCTTCTGTGTGTGAACCAAAATCACATCACCCCGAGATATAAAGCTGCCTCGCTTGTGATGTGGCCCAGACTTGGCAGCTGTTGGCAGTCAGCAGCAGACGTCACAATGGAAAGGGAAGAATACCATGTCCAATTGAAATGACAAAGGAAAATTGAATATGCAGGCTGTTTAGCTGGAACGTCTAGAAACGAATCAATGAGAGTAATAGGCAACAAGCAAATCTATTGTTGGACCTCAATACTAACTCTTGAACTTCACAATTCAGAGTAGTTTTCAGATTTTAAAAACTGCCAGTGTCAAATCTGAATAGAAAGGTGTGATGATGGGCTGAAATTTTGTAGACAGGCTACATATAAGATGAAGTTGAATTTAAAATTCATCAAAAGGGAAGGCAAATCTTTTTTATTTGAAATATCTATTCGGGATGAAGGCTGCAAAAAAGACCATTGGGGGCTACTAAAGGATGTAAAGAATGACAGGATATAGTCACGGGATATTGAGAGTGAAGAAAGGAAGAGCCTAGGATGACTGGCATTTCTAATGGCGGGGGCAGCAATGTCTTTATGGTGGTGCAACATACAGGAGCAGATTTGCGGGAGGGGTGTTGGAGGGAATGAACATGTTTGGTGCTATAACAGCCTAAAATGCTGTACCTTACACAATTTCATCACTCAACAAGTGAGAGCTGGGGATGGAAAGACCAGTAAGATTTGATTACCACCCTCAAAGCACCGATCATCTAATGGAGGATTTTAGAGTTAATTGGGTCTTGCTATTACACAAGTATGAAAAGAGTTAAGTGCTACCACATTGCTTGCTACTTCCTGAAGCTTCTGGCTTACAGCTTTTGTACTTTTTTTCTGGAACACTCTTTCCTCATTATCTGCGTGGGTCACTTGGTCACCTCCTTCAGGTCCTTGTTCAAATACTGTCTTCTCAGTGAGGCCCTCTTTGGTCACCCTGTTTAAAATTGCAAAGCCTGCTGTCCACTCCCAGGCCCTCTACTCACATCCAAATTATGCTGAATTTTTTCTATAGTATTTATCACCATCTAAAATCCAACATACTTTACATATTAGTATATTGTCTCTCTCCTCACATGAATGTCAGCTCTTTGAGGGTAGGGTATCCAAGGGGTTGTTTATTTTGTTCTCTCTGTACACAGTGTCCAGAGTAGTACAAGGCTGTCATTGAATAATTATTTAGATATTACATAATGATCATAGTCTGTTGAATGGATTGATTCAGGAGTATGCTGTGGGAACAGTAAAGAGTTGATGCCAAAATACTGTTGGAAGATTAAACAAATTATGGCACAACTAAAATTGCTCTCCAAAATGGTCAAGTAAAAACAACTCCATTTAGCAGGCTGCCTCTTTCAGCAACCTGGGGATACGTGCCACCTACCTTATGGTGGGGTGGCATGGAGTCTGTTGCTCAGAATCATATTTCACAGGATCAACACAGGTATTAATCTAGCACATGGCTGCTCAATATTTGTTAAGCGAATGGGTGAATTTGAAGACTGGATAATACTTGCTGTTAATCATCTTTACTATGCCTTATTGGAATATCTGTGCTACTCAAAGGGTGGTCCACAGATTGGTGTTGGTCTGCAGACTTAACTGGTCTGCACTGAGATAAATAAATCATGATTTAAGAAGTAGAAACTTTATAGCAATTTGACATCTTAACGGTAGATTTTATTGTATTTTATAAATTATGAGCCTGGAACAGATGGGGGGAAAAGAACTAGTCCTTCACTTTTGAGAAGCACTAATTTCTTTCATGGATTGCTGTCAGTCACTTGTTTATGTATTTAAAGTATATTTAAAACTGCACCTTAGGGTAGTCCTGTTTTTTCAGTAGGTACCCTTGGAAGGTGAGTTTATGCTCCAGAGAAGAGTATTGGATAGGTTTCTCACCTTTACTAATAGAATGGCAATGCTTTTACCTGCTCATCTGATATCCAAAGTACGTATGTGGATTTTTTCCCCCAATGGATAAAATCATGTGTCACTTTGTCTTAAAATGGTGCAATCATTTATGGATTTAGGAAATTAATTATTTTTTGCCTAGGATTTTTAAAAAGTTTTTAAAATAACTTGATTGAGATATAATTTATATACCATGAAATTCACATTTGACATAATGCAGTCCAATGAATTTTTAGTAAATTTACCAAGTTGTGTAACCATCACTACAGTCAAATTTAGAACATTTCCATTACCCCAAAAAGATCCCTTGAGCCCATTTGCAGTCACTTCATATTCCCACTCTAGCCCCAGGCAACCACTAATCTCTATTCTGTTTCTAAAGGTTTGTCTTTTCTGGACATTTCATGTAAATTGAATCATGTACTGTGTGGTCTTTGCATATGCCTTCTTTCATTTAGCATAATATTTTTGAGGTTCATTCATATTGTAGCATAATGTACTTCATTCCTTTTTATGGCCAAGTAATGTTCCACTGAATGGATGCACTCCTTTTTGTTTTTCCATTCATCAGTTGATAGACATTTTGGGTGTTTCCTCTTTGGGACTATTATACATAATGCTGATGCTGTAAACATTCGTGTACAGGTTTGTTTGTGTGAGCATACGTTTTCAGTTTTCTTTGGAATATACCAAGGATTTTTAAATTGCTGGGTTATATGGTAACTCTATGTTTAACTTTTTGAGGAACTGCCCAACTGATTTTCGCAATGACTAAGATTGTACCAATTTACATTCTTACCAGCAACGTAAGAGGGTTCCAATTTTTCCACATCCTTGCCAACACCTGTTATTTTTTTTTCTCTTTAAAAAGTATACCCATCAGAGTGGGTGTGATGTGGTATCTTATTGTGGTTTTGATTTGTATTTCTTTAATGACTAATGATATGATATTTATGTGCTTATTGGCCATTTTTATACCTTCCTTGGAGAAATTCTGTTCAGATCCTTTGCCCATTTTTAAATTGATGTATTTGTCTTTTTATTGTGGAGTTGTAAGAGTCAATCCTTTGATTTTGGTTGTCACAGAAATTGCTTTGGATCCTTACTGTTAAGTTGGACTAATAACACATACATCCTTGAAAGCTGACCCAAGCCCTAGCTGCTACATTTAAGTATGATGATAATTGGGCAAAGAATGATTGTCATGTTTTCTTTGTTTTCCATGAAAAAATTTTTTTAAAAGTATAATATGAAATGTCAAATCACTATATTGTACACCTGAAACTAATATAATATCGAATGTCAACTATACTTTTATTAAAAAGAGCTTCACCTTCCAGAATTTAAAACAAGTATAATTTGATTAAGTATTATCACTTTGGCATGGCCCTTATTTAAACTAAACTTATCAGCGAATAAATGATAGGCTGATGAAGTCTCTGGTTGGTACTGTTGTTGGTGCTCACTGGAGGCATTTAAGCAGAATCTGGACATCTGCTTATTGGTTTGTTACAGGAGAAATTCATGTATACTAAAGAAAGGTAGATTAGATGCCATCTGAGATTCTTTCCAGCCCTAGGATTCTGTTTTTACGGCCTCGAGCTGAAGCTTGTCTCAGTGAAATGGTATGAAAAGTATTATATTTTATTTTCATTGTCATTGTATAGAGTTTGATTCTAAAGAGAATGGAAAATTATACTTTGAAAACAGAACCAAATATTATGTACTTCATTGTATTTTGAAAAAGATTTAAATTGTTTTACCTTGTTGCACTTGAGATAGTTTGCTTTCCTTCAACTCTGAAGAATATGTATTGTTTCTTCTTACAGATTAGCAAGACATCTACAAAAAGAGGCCCAAGCTCAACACAATAATTCTGAATTCACAGAAGAACAAAAGGTACCATAAAATAATCTCTAGACACGTCAGATTCCAAATGAAAAGGGTTCTGTGTTTCGAGTCTGTTAAGCAAAATTAAACAACAAAAAACTGTTATACTTAAGCACAAAGAATGATACAGTTTATGCTTTGCCAAACATTAAGTGATCAAGGAGAGGTACCACATGATGTACCACTTCATGAATTTCTTTCCTCAGCCATTTAGACTTTGCTTAACTTGAGTGGAGACCATCCACACTTTGGTTGGGGTGGGAGGAGTGCAGAGACGAGTTTGATTATGAGTAATTGAGTCCCACCTTAATATTTACTTTTGACTCTGAACTTGAACTCCTCTATTTCTCTCAGAACAAACAAAAAACTCAAAAAAAAAAACAAAGCCACCACTGAAAAAAATTAGTTCAAGAATTTGTCATAAGACTGTCAGCAAAATAAGGTTGCAAAATGTTTCAATGGTGCTCTTTCTCCTTGAATTAAAATTTTAATGTGCCAAGTTGATTCCTTGCACTGTTAGATATGATGAAAAATTGGATACTTTAAGAAGCTTTAAAGAGTGAGAAGAAATCGGAAGAAACTACCCATTTTTTTCCTGGCTCAAAGTATCTAGTGTTAAATCAAATTTTATATCATAGATAACGAAAAAGAATTAATGTGCCAATTTTTCCCTCCTCTCTTAAGAAAACACAATGTGAAAACTATGGTGACTTAATTTGCTTTCATTAATTCTTGTTCTGTGCAAGGAGTGGAAGGAAGTGGGAGTGATTTTTTTTTTTTTGCATACTTTTTAAGTAAGCCTAAATAAATTTATTTTAGTCCGTAGGCCTGTATTCATTTGACTAGTATTTATAGGAGTTTGGAAAGAAAAAAACCCCCAAAGGTTAGGGTTAATCATATTTCTTACACTAATTAGTATGTATTTGCATTTTTTAAATATTTGAGATCTACATTATCTAATGTACTTTTTTTATATTGAGAAAAAGAAATACACGTTGCTATAATTTAAAAGTATATTTTTCTCTCTTCCTTAATAACTGCTAATACCCACAATAGATTTAGGAAACTTTGGATCTGAGCCTTGGAAAATAATTCCCACAGCAGAAATAATTGGTTTGCTTAAGGCCAGGAACAAAGACTGTACGCTTTATTACCTCTATGAGATTTGTGAAATCTATCTAGGAATTGATTAGGAAGTGATCAGCTGGCATCACTGCATTGGGAGTTAAAACACCTCAAATTTGAAACAAAATCTCAAATATCTAAGTATGTAAATTAACAGCTGGCGGAGTATGTTATGGATAAGGAAACAAAATGAAAGCTTAGGGAATTTTTTAAAAAAGTTTAATGACCCCCATATTTTAATTACCTATTTGCCTTGAGTTACTTATATGCTTTGTCTCCAACACCTGTTGCCTAGGTATAGGACCTGTGAGCAGCATGACCTCAAATATAGAGTGACTTGATCTAAAACATCTAAAACATACTGTATTTTTTTTAAATGCCACGAAGAAATGAGCTTTAGGATGATGATTAGACCCACAGATCTTAACACTTTATAAGGCCCAGGAGGCAGCACGACCTTGCAGATGAAGGAGACTGAGATCTGCAGTCAGAGGACGAGGCCTTCAGCACTGGTTCTGTCTCTGGGCCTCAATTTCCTTATGTATGAAATGAGGGGTTGAAATCACCGTAAACGATCGCAAAAGGTATCTTAAATCTTCTACTCACCTCTACTTTTCAAGTGCTCTGTACTTCTTCCTTTCCTGGAGGCCGGATTTTTGAGGTTTTATTATTTATCACACCTGCCTGGCAGGCATCTGTGGCTGCCAGCTGTGACTAGAGAGAGAGTCTCTGCCTGCCTGCCTATTCCTTGGGCTTGGAGAAGGACCTCCAAATCACTTACGTACTAAAGAGTGTGTATAAGGCAAGTTGTATGCACTTGCAAATTGAGCTTTCTTTACAGGTGAAACATTCACAACGGGCCAAAAAACTCATAATGACATATAGGCCTTATCTGAATGTCACATAAGGAAAAAGTTAGAGGCACCAGGTTCCTAAGTGATTAGAAAACAAAGATTTTCCAGATGTGATCTGGAGAACATTGGCTCTGAAAAATTAATAGATGTCATTTGAACAGAGAGAGTTTGTGACTTGTCAAGACTTTTAACATGCTAATGTATATGTTGAGTTTTTAAAGAGTGTGGGTAATGGAGTATTTCTTAAATGTGTTTGCTTTTGGAAGCCCCTCCTTCCTTTATAGAACATTTCAGTGGGTGTAGTGTTCTGAAGGAGCGGGTTATGGGAAATTTTGAAACCAACTGTTAGGTCTGCAAATTTAATTGAATGCCAGACTTGGCACATAAGCCAAGGTAGAAGAAACTTGATTGTGTTTTCCTCAAAAGAGGAAAATGGAGAACATTCCTTACATTTTCTAAGCAAAATTGGTCTTTATGTTTTCACTTTTGAATTATATTCTTTATGCTTGTAGTATTTTCACTATTTTTGTGGCAGTGACAAATTTGAGAATCATGCCAGCCATTCAGTAGTATGTAGGACTTTGAAAGAAGATCTTTTAATAACCAGCCATCTTTCTGAAGTGCTTTTTACTGTCTAGCTCACAGTAAGCTTTCAAAAATATTTGATGAATAAATGCTTTGTTGGATCTTAGGTTATTGATAGTTATTCATATACGATTATTATTTAAGATAAAAGAAATCCTAACTTTTGAGAGGATAACATATACATCTTCACCATATTTATTTTAAGTCTAAAGGTAGAACTCTAAAGCAGAACTACTGATCTCTCTAAACTTTATTAATTGGTGATAAAAATCTTCATTAGAATTTTCTATTCAGAATAGTCTCAAAGATTTCTGGTGGAAAATGAGAAAATTTATGATTCTTACTTGATCCTCCCTCATGATTAGTTGACTTAACTTTCAATTCTCAATAGTTTTGTCATAATAACAACTGGGCTTAGTAGCCAAAGAATAGCTGCCAACAGCTTTCGTTCCATTAAATTCCCTACTTTGGCGTAGTAGATTTTCTCATGTAAGTTTCTGGGCAGAATAGAACATCCTGTCTCATGATGCTTAGAAAGACTTGCCCTGTTTTGAATCAAGTTTGGTGGTAATGAGAATTCCAGCACTCTGTGCTTGTTTTATATTGTATAGGTCTCCCCGTTCCACTGCCTCCCCATCTCTTGCTCCTCTCCCTGCTTCCTCCAGCTACAGAATAGACAGATGACTGACTGTTTAAATCTAAGAAATTAAGTCTGGATTGAAACCATACTACTTCAACCATGTGTATTTTTAAAACCTATTTAAATTGAATACATTTTTAGCAAAATAATTCAGCTCTTTAGTTGTCTAATTTTTAGTCCATCTTTTTTTTTTTTACATTTTTATGTGTATTTATTACATGAAAGGAGCCAATATAGAACTTGTCTAATAAAAAAATAATCATTTAGGATCAAAACAGAGCTTAACCAGCAGTGCTTAGAATATAGAATTTATAATCAATTCCTTATAAATGTCTGTGTAAATAAAACAGATTATAAGAACTTATTTTCTGGCTACAAAACCAAAAGTTAAACCATTGAAATAGCCAAGGAACGCCTTCTTCCTGGTCCTCTCTTCCATCTTTTTATTAATTGCTCTTTTTGAGTTGTCGATTTCTCTGGCAATGACAAAGTAAAATGGACAGTATTCTGAAAATGAAAACATTTTCCATTTCTATACCATATTAGGCATGAGCAATTAATTTGAAGCGCTAATAATTTAAATCTTTCTAAAATTAAACTTACCTTCTGTGCTTAGTCTTAACATACATTAGTTAATAATAGTCAGTACTTATACTCTGGCACAAGTGACCCTGTGCTTCTTAATAATTTTTCTGAATTATTTGTTTCCAAGAAATGTGAAACAGTTACAGTAGCAAGCCCTTGGTTTTGACATCAATAAATGCTACATGTTCTGAAAGTCATTGCTACATCTGAAAATGATAGTGTTTCTCTCCTTCTTTAATACTGATGTTGGGTGTGGTCCCTTAAAATAGTTATGAATAATGCCTATTGGTATTTTGCCATAGTTCAGTAGATTCTGTGTAAAAAGCTGTGGCTTCTGCTTAACTTGAAGAAATGTTTACATTTAAAATAGGTTATTAGTGGGCTCATAGTTGTTAGAACTACATTTTATCTTAAAAATTAAAGCATCAAATCAAATATATTTCATAGTAAAAAAGGAAAAGGAGTAAGCTAATATGTTTAAACACTCATTGACACATCTCAGTACAGACAAAATCCTTTTTAAAAACCATTTTTAAATGAAATAAAAAGTATGGCCAAATCGTATTAAAATACCATTTGCTTTGTATATATTGCTGTTTTATAGAAGGCATTGATGTCTAGGACAAAGTACTTAATCTCTCTTCAGTTTTCACATCTATAAAATGATTGTATCTAACTCATAGGGTTATAGTGATGATTAAATGAATGGATATTTGTAAATTACTTAGGAAGGCCTATCACTTTGCCAGTGCCCAATAGTTGTTAGCCATCACTATATTATATTATTGTATTTGTGTTTAAAAGGATTTACTAGTTTTGTCAGAGTTGAGTGGTATATTTGAACAACAGTGATTTGGGGCATGTTAGCTTTTATGCAGAAAAGACTATTGCTGGCTCCTACGCAGCAGCTGTTTGAGAGGGTAAATAAATCTATGAGCCTCTTGAGTTCTTTTGCAGTTACTATGTTTAAATGTAATCTTTAAATGCAAATTTTCACAATAAAATTGGGTATTTTCTAAACTCTTACATTGGGATTCAAAGGAATTTTTTAGATTGTGGCTATAGATAAATGTTGTTACTTATTCCTTGGCAATTCCAAGTGTCATATCTTGCTCAGTGGTGGTTCATTTTGTGAGTTGCTATGCCAGTTGTATATTGTGGATATGATAATTGCATAGTGCCCACTCGCCTAAGTGCCAGGGGGCAGGACGATACTTGTTATTCCTCATTGCTCCTCATTTATCTTGCAAAGAAAATTGACAAAAGAGAAAAACACCACATCCAACCTACTAAACTTTTTCAAGTCTTCAGTATATTTAGAAAGTATGTCATTTGTTTCCAGAATATTTCACTGTGAAGGCATTGCAAATATTGTACAAAAATACTTCACTTTTATGGTTTGGATTGATTCCTAATAAATACTTAATGTCTTTTTTGGAAGGACTTGAAAGTCTTGATGGGCATAATTCATCTGCCTGCTCTCACAGATATTTCTTCTATGGGCCTCCTCCTTTTCATTTCCACCCTAGTCATTCACGTTCTTCTGATTACCAGTTACCTGTAGAGTTGAAAATACCGGGCTGATCTTCCCTTTAGTCTTTTCGCTTTTCTGCTTCCATCTATGGATACTGTTGTCACAACAGCCTTCTTAAAGGGCAAGTCTGATAGTTGTTCTCTGTTCAAAAACCTCCTGTGGAATTTACAGCTAAAGTAATCACACGTTCCTCAGCTAGTCATTGAGGTCCCCTTCAGGATGACCCCCGTCCCTCCAAATCACACACTTCTCATTGCAAATCTCCCTCCTCCTGCCTTCAGTTTGGGACTTGAAACAATTGAACCATGACAGTTTTCGATGCTCTTTAATTTTAGAAGTCCTCCCAGTCACGGAGCTGGACTCCTAACATAGGGTTTTGTCCTCTTTCTTGAGAACATATAATGGCTTACGTGGTTGAAGCTTATAGAATCAGGTGTCTCTTTTTTTATGTTACAGTGACTCTATATGTGTCTTCTCTTATGTAATAGGACATAAGCTTATCAAAGACAAGGACTATGCCTTATCATTTATGTCCATTGTATAGCTCATGTTATTATAAAGCAGATCTGACTGTAAAATTTGCCACCATTCATCACATGTATTAATTTTGCTCAGTATTGCCTATGTATTTAATTAAATAAGTCAAGATTGAACTTAGTCAGAATTAAATTATACCATTATGCTAACTTTCAGATATTTTTATTTTTAAATCTTTTAGTGAATTTCAGGCTTTATGGAGAAGAAGAGAAAGCAAAGCTTGGGAGGGACGATGGTGGAGGTCCTTTTCATTGCCCTTTAAATCATATCATCAAAGCAAACTTGATTTAAAATTGGTTGTGGACCATTAGGTCAGGGAGAATGTATACTCACCTTCTCTCCCTTATCCCAGCCCTTTACTTCCTGTTTCTCTTATTTAAAATCTGCAAGATGCTAAAAAGAAATAAAATTTAACTTTTGTTGTTGTTGAGGAACAGTGTGTTTTTCCAGGACCCATCAGCTCCAAGTCAAGTAGTTGTTTCAGTCTAGTTGTGGAGGGTGCAACTCAGTGGCCCATGTGGGGATCAAACTGGCAACATTGGTGTTATGAGCATTGCGCTCTAACCAACTGAGCTAACAAGCCGCCCCTTAACTTGTTTTTTTTTAATTTTGCATCCTTTATCAATAAAGATTAACTTGATGACTTTGAGAACTAACAGTTATAATGTATTTGATATTTATTGCTCATTCTTTTTCCTACAGAAAACCATAGGCAAAATTGCAACATGCTTGGAATTACGAAGTGCAGCTTTACAGGTAAAGAGGCTTTTTGTTGGTTTTTTTTCCCCCTTTTTCTAATATAAGGAAATGAACTGTTAGGTCTGCAAAATTAAGGAAAATAAATTATTATGAACTATTTTGATAAAACAATAGGCATGCCTGCTGAAAGCAGTATTGTCTCAGAAGGTTTTTATAGGAATTCATGGGTTAAGCTTATATTAAAAAATTAGTTCATATTTTATAAACTCTAGAAATAAGAAATATAACTTTAATTTTTTTTCTGTTATTTTTAGCCTGAAAGACCCCAAAATACAAAAACAAACAAAAACCAGTTTGGGACTTTTCTACTTTGAAAGAAAGAAATAGATTCATTTATTTTGGTTACTTTTTGAATATTTAGTTCTTGCCACTTAAAAGACAAAGGGTATAGTGAAGTCATTATAATAAAAAGATGTAATGTGCATATTTTAAATTCAGTCCACACAGTCCCAAGAAGAATTTAAACTGGAGGATCTGAAGAAGCTAGAACCAAGTAAGTTTTATGTTTTTTAGTGATACTGCTTTCAAAAAATATTTATTAGAGATATTAAGATGATTTAGCATAAAAGTTTATTTGCTTTATTTCTGTTAATATCTAGTCCTGTGTGATTTTTTTCACGCTTTTATAATTCCTATAATATGTATAGTAATTATTTAGTTTACCTTTATTTAGAATATGAAAAGTTATTTGTTGTACCTACAAAATCTAGGTTATACCTACTTCTTCGCTATGTTTTTGCTTTTATTTTGTTTTAATCGCTTTAATAAGACAATAATTACTTTGTTAAGCATTTACAGAAGCATCTTTTGGAGAATTTAAAATTATAATCATTGATGCCCAATTATACTACATCATCGAAGACTACAGACCAGCTGTTTGAGCTGCTCTAAAACATATTTTTTTTGTTGTCCCCATTTTTCTTTCCCTTGAAAACTCTGGAAGCAAACAATTTCTTCAAATGTTTTGGTGGTCAGGATGCTGCCAAATAAAGCTTTTTTGCTGGTTCAAATGAATGGCCTCTTAGAGGAAGTGTTTGCAATATAGGCAAAGGCACAAGTATTGAATATCACCACAATCAATTTTAGAACATTTTCATCACCCCAAAGAGAAACCCTGTACTCATTATAATTAGCTTTCACCCATTTTCTTCCAACTCCCTAATTCCCAGCTCAAGGCAACCACTAATCTAATTTCTGTCTATAAATTTCTCTATTGTGGACATTTTATATAAATCAAATCATACAATATATATGTTTTTTTGTGACTGGCTGTATATAATATTTTAAGGAAAGCACATTGGTGGTTTTAATGGTTATTTAATGGTTATATAATGGTTCTAAATAATAATCTTTTAATGATAAGAATAATTAGAATTTTGGCTCCTTATTTAGTCACTATTTTCCATTAGCTTTTTATTTTTTCCAGTTTGTTTACAAATACAATTTAGAATCTGACAGATATGTAGGATGACTATAAACTATTTATGCTCATTATCTCTTCTTATAAAGACGCTCAATTATTTCTCCTGTTGCCTTATAGGATCTTTCATGATGATAATGGTTACCATTTTTTAGAGTAGCAGCTACATACCAAGCACTGAGATAAATCCACTCAATTGCAGTTTGCTAACTGACACTCGCTCGTGACCTTACAGCTTATAAATGCCAAGTCTGGGTTTTGACCAGGGTTCTAAGTGACCCCAAAGCCTATATTCCTTCCACTGCACTCTGCATTAATACCTGTAATGGTGCAATATTGACATCAATCCTAAATATCACAGTTCCCCAGTTCAAGCTTCTGAAAGATGAGTAACACATATATTAGTGGAAAACTGGGCTAAAATCTGCATTAGTCTTCTATTTCATGGTTTTTTTGTTTGCTTGTATTTATTTTTTTAAGATTAGGGATGGGAATGGAAAGGAAAGATAGTATTATTGGGATTTATTTTGTTACATTTTGAATTTATATCATCCTTTTCATATGGACTTCTCCCTTCTTGGAACTCATTTTCTTTTTAGATGACTTAAATTTGCTATTGCCTCTTAAATGAAGAGCAGTGTATATATTGTATCTCAGTAGGGTATGATCTGTAATTTTGAATTTATTAAAGCTAGGCACTTATGAGTTAATTATTTTATCAGAATCATTTTTTACTAATTGGTATTTGACCATATTTCAGGTTAAGTGTACGTAGTCAAGCTGGCCTCTGCCTCTTCTAAGACTAAGGAAAGGAAAATTAATGAATGACTGTACCTTTCAATATTTGGGACTTTGTTGCTTTATTTTGCTAATGTATTTTTCCTTCAAGGTTTTTAAAAATCTCTTGCAAGTCTTTTCTGAAATATACCAAAACTATGATCTTGAAAGTACTGGTCATTTTAAGTTTCTTATGTTAATCCTTAGTAATATCAGTATATCAGGTTTCAAGTTTCTGTCCCTTTTGGCTTGCTTACTCAACTTCGGCTATAAAGTGCATTCTATTCCTTGAACAAGCCAAACTATTGTAGTTCCTGCCTCAGAGTCCTTGTTGTTACTCTGGCCTGTTCTCCAATACTTGGAAAGCACTTGTCCCAGAGCTGCTTGTGGACTGTTCCTCTCAATCCAGGTCATATCAACTGTCTTCTAACAACTTCACCTTGTTTGTGGCCTTAATATCACTAAGCGCAATCTTATATCATCCTGTTAATTTGTTAGCGCGTTTATTGTCTGCCTTTCCTCACTAGGGTCTAAGAGTCATATATGAAGGAGCCCCCTGTCTTGATCACAGCCATCTTTTTAGCACCTAAAACATTATGAAACATTATGGGCACTCAGTGCACATTTGAGAGAAAGAGAGAGAGGAAGGATGAGGGTAAGAGCTGGAGGGAGAGAGAATGAGAATGAATGAGAATGTAGACACAAGTCTCAGGCTTCTCTCTCACTGGCGACTTAGTAGGGTGCAGATACTACAGGAAGCCTGGTAAGCAAACGTGAGTCCTGTTGGAGTAAGTCACACAGTTGCAGCCTGCGCACTGCGAGTTCCTCCTTTAGGATAACAGTGCGCCATACCTACCTCAGTCCTAAGCTGCCGGAGTCCAAAATTAGCTGAACACGTTGAGAACAAAATTATGGGAACCGTTTGGATTGCCCAGTTAATGCCATTACTTCACCTTCATGTAACTGCAGGTAGTTACTGGGAACCCATAAGGCCAGATGTAAAGCACTAAATGACATACTTAGAGTGACCCCTATAAGGTATATATACTTACAGTACCTCTCCAAATGTAGGCAGAATAGTAGAACATCTCTCTTTAAATTTAAATATTGGAATGTAATCATTGACACAGCCGTAATACAGGAGGTGGTGCCATGTTGTTTGAACACTGCTTTTCAGGATAAATCTCTCTTTGTGTATATGTGTATGTACATATATCTATGTATGTATGTACATATATGCATCTGTATATATGCATGTACATATATGTATGTATATAATAACCTTTATCATAAATTATAAACATTATGTATATATGTGTGTACAACAAACCTTATATATGAGAATTGTAACCAGATTTACCAAACTTTACAAGTTTCATGGAGTTGAGGAGAAATCTAATCAGGACATAGAATAAGACATGGTCATGTACCTCTGATTGGCCATCTTTGATAATCGGTCTTTTAATTGATATACTCCAGGAAGGAGGCATTCTTTGTCTGTGCTGCCAGTGTCTCACCTGAGACCTTGTACAAAGAACTATTTTGGGGTTCATTTTCCATGAGGGCTCTGAGACTCTGGAACTTACTCTCCTCAGAGATGTGACATTACTCTGAAGTTACTAATACCTGGAGTATGCTATGGATATTTTCATTTTGGTAAGACCTATAAGTCATGGAAAAATGCATTGTGGTTTTAGATGAGAAGATTGGGAATTTTTTAAAAGTATTAATGTACATAGTAAAACTGATTAAAAAAGCAGTCACTTATGGTAAAATTTTTAATTTTGATTCATGGAAGAATTCATGTGTCTTTCTCTTTTTTTTTTAATTTTAGTCCTAAAGAATATTCTTACATATAATAAAGAATTCCCATTTGATGTTCAACCTGTCCCTTTAAGGTAAAATAAATAAGAACCAATATTTGTCCTCTTATCATCTTATTTTACACCTACTTTTTAGATATTTCTGGATTTTTTATATTAACTTTTATATCATTGATGCCAATATATCAACTTTTTCTTTTTTCAAATATTTTATTGGGGAATTGGGGGAGGGGAACAACGTTGGGAAGTGGGGGAAGGGGAACAGACAAGTTGCTGTCCTTTTGTTCTTCAGTCTAGTTATGGAGGACGTTGCTTCACTGGCCCATGTTGGTATTATCATTGCGCTCTTCCTGGGTGAGGCAGATTGGTCGCCGGTCTCTGGACGGCTGCTCATGGAGGCCCTTGGCCGCTCACGCTGGCTGCCAGCCACACACGGTAGCTTATGGCAACCCACTGCAGCAGGGGCTGTAGCCTACACCGTTGCCGGCTACTCAAGGGAGCCCAGCTCCAGGTCGAGCTGTTGTTCAGCATCTTAGCTGTAGAGGGCAGTGTCACTGACCCTCATATGTGGGATCCGAACCGGGGCCCTACTGCTCAGAGCTGGCGTCCAAAGCCAGCTCTTAACCAACGCACCACTTGTCCGGCCCCAATATATCAACATTTTTATGTCAACATCTTTTATATGAACATCTTACCTAGGAAATGAGTAGCTGTGAGGCTTCTCTAGTGTATTTAGTTTTTTTTTTTTAAAGATTTTGTTGGGGAATTGGGCAAGGGAACGTTGAACATTACGTGGCTCTTAACCAGCGCCACTCGGCCGGCCCTTGTATATTCAGTTTTGTAGCTCACTATTTTTTTCTGTCCTTTTGCATGTAGAAGAATTTTAGCACCTGGCGAAGAAGAGAATTTGGAATTTGAAGAAGATGAAGAAGAGGGTGGTGCTGGAGCAGGGTCTCCTGATTCCTTTCCTGCTAGAGTCCCTGGTGGGTGTTACGTGTTTAAAAATACACATTGCTTAACATAATCCAAGGTCAGTGTGTTTGGAACTGATTTTGGTACTTACCAGTGGGGAGTATGACCTCTCCAGAGACCATGCCAGTCTGAAGCACATTTTTATGGCCATGTTATCGGCAGTAGCTATTTGATAAGTATAGTCTGAAAGTATCTCCCTATCTATGTCAAGGGTCTGGGGACCACCCTCAGGTTCAGTGACTCACTAGGAGGACTCAGCATATAGTTGTACTCACAGCTATAATTTATTGCAGTGAGGGAATACAAGAAAAAAAAATCATCAAAGGGAAAAGACACACCAGTAAGCCAGTATAAGCTTCCGGGAGTCCTCTCCTAGGAGTCATACGTTGTGCTTAATTCCTCCAGTAACAGATCATAACAATACGTATGGAAACTGTCTCCTAGGGAAGCACAGTAGAGACTCAGTGCCCAGAGCCAATCATATAGCCACCCTCTGCCCAGCATTGACCAAAATTCCAGACTCCCAGAGGAAAGCAGATATTCAGCATAAACCAGATTGTTGGCACAGACAGTTTTGCCATAGTGACCATTCTTATCAGGGGATGGTGGGAACCCTCCCAAAATCCAAGTTCCCAGACACTAGCCAAAGGCTGACCTTGCAAGCAGGCCTTTCTAAGAATAACAGTCTCAGGCCTGCAGTGTTAACCCTTTCCTGTGTATGATCATAAGTGCTGCTTTAATTAATCAAGTGTGGTCATTAAAACTGGACCCAGGGGACTGGATACTGAGCAAATGCCCTTTCCCCCATCTTGTTTTAGGAAAGCAAATAATGTATGTCCAGCCTATTGTGTTTACAGAAGATGTTGATGAGGATTTCCCTGCAAATCACCTAGGGCGGGCTCCCTGGGTAAATTTCCTGCCTATCCCAATTACTGTTTTACTCTGTTCTGTTCCACCATGCGTAGTTTTCATTTCCAGTAAACTAGTTCACCAATATGCTGTAATATTGTAATGCATTTTAAAATAAGACTCCAGAAGCTTACAGTATAGTTAAATACAATGTGTGTGTCATCCGAGTAGCTTTCTTGGTAATAAAAGTATAGTAGTATTCCAGTATTTCTAGTACTCCTTTGGGAGGAGGCATGATGCAGTACAAAACAGAGGCTTGAACCAGCAGATACTCAGGCTTGAGTCTAAGCTGACTATTGGGTTGTCGGAAAAGTCATGATGCATTTTTGCAGCGAAAAACATAGAAAAAATACGTCATCATTTGTCCGACAGCCCAGTATTACTAGTCGAGTGGCTTTACACCTGTTTCTTAAACCCATCTAAACCTCAGTTTCTGTGTAAAATGGGATAATAATAGTGCCTGACGAAAGGTTACTGTGAAGATTAAACAAGGTACTACACACTCAGCGTTTAGCACAGTGCCTGTCATATGCCGAATATCAGTGGTGGTTATTCTCATGACCAGTGCCTTTCAGTGGAGGATGGCAGTACCTATACTCTAGGACTGCTGGGAAAATTACAGGCACCAAAGGAAGTAGCTGCTGTTGTGAATGTGTCTTTGGTACAAGGGCATTATCTCCAGTCTACTTTGCTTTATAAAGAGAGAGGTATATTTTTCTTGCTTTTGTCTTATATGTAGGAAATCTTAAGATGGCTGAGATAGTAAGAGAAATTATCTCACTATCTGTTTTTCTGACTAAATAATTGTTATTCCCTTTTCAAACAACATACTCTAATTGATGTAGCTTCCAGGACTATAAATTTCTATCTAATTTGGTTATTTGCTCACTTGCTGTACTTCTGTAGCAAACAAGATCCTTAAAGCAAGTGATGTAAACCATGAAACAGATTAAGTTATTTGTGGGGTTCAAGTGGCTGAATTGAAAATCTATTTGCTGTGTAAGATTAAGCCCAACTGAATAGATTTTTTATTCTGATATAGCATTGCAGTATTTCATTGCAGAGCTACAGAAAGCTTGCTGAACCCTTCAGTTCCCTGAATTTTTTTTCCTCTAAGAGTAAGAAAAAAATACATGTAGTTTAATGCGCTGTCTTTAGTTTGGGATCAGGTTGTCCATGGCCTGTTTTATTAAGAAGTAATTTGTAAAGTTACATTCATTGCTATAATCATTGAAATAGAAAGATGACTTTTAACTTTTAATTGTAAAGCAGGAAAAAATTTCTTGTTACCCTGAGGGAACCCAAGATTTCGGTGATGCCTAGGTCGTGTCTGCATTCTAGTGGCAAGATGGTTCCAGGAATTGTTGTGACTTTTTCATTGTATTTTTTATCTATGTTTTTATATAATTTATTGAATTGTAAGTTTTGAAGTGTCATTTACACATGTAAAATTCACCCTTTTTAGTATGAGTTCTGACAAATGCACAGTTGTGTAACCACGACCACTGTAAGGTTGATGAGGAATGAACTATGAACCAGAGTAGTTTTTCTCCATTTAAAATTAAAAATGACTTTATAGCCAACCTTTCTTGTGGGGGGAAAAAAGAAGTAATTAAGCTTAGCTTTCTTGATATTTATCTCTTTCCTTTTCAAAATTTTAAAAACTCATAAGGCAAAAATTTCTGTTAAATAACTGGCTGAAGCCAAAATGGGATTTAATTTTTCTAAAGGTAGGCTTGGTAGATTTCATTTAAGTGAAGATATAAATTTATAACCTGTTATTTATGACCTGAAAATTTATTGACAGTGGTGAATACTAAAGCAACTAAAACCATAAGCCAAAGCAATACGAATTAAAAAATCGCCCAAGACATAGTTTTCAAGATTTTAAAAAAACCTGTTCTTCTTGACTGACATGATTCAGCTCAAATATAGGCTTAGCAGTTTCAAAATTATTATACAAATGTGTTAGTTACTTGATCTCTTATATAGGCTTCAATATGCATAAGCATGTTTATTTTTTAAACTAAAAATAAAGAATGAAATTGACCTCTTTACTGTGAAACCTGTGCTTGGTTTTTGCTGCACAAATACTCAATTTTGAGTTGAACTTAACAGATAAGCAAATGTCGATCTCATTTTCAGCTGAAATGAGGCGATGTAAGAGGTTAGAAATTGCAGCAAAACGTTCACTGCTTTCCTGTGACTATCAGCATTCTTATTTCCCAGAAATCCAGCACAGGTCTAGGGGCACAGCTGAGAACATCATCTTAAGTGTATGGTTAGGCCCCAGCGCACAAAGTTCTTCCTGTTCTCTCAAAGTCCCAAGTTCTCAGGCTGGGCAGAAGAACCAGAGAAAGAGGCCCTCACCCAGGCATATATTTGTGTTGAAAAGAAGGGAAAAGATTGCTTGATTTTGTGTTCTGGTTCTCCAAGCTGGGGTTCCCTAAGATTTGAGACTTGTTGGTATTTTCCCTCCCTTTCAAGCCCAAATAGTTTTGAAAATATTTTAAGATTCCCTTTTACAACTTTTTTTCTTTTAAATTCAAGAATCCAGTCACTTGCAGTCAAAAGGTTTTCTCCAGAGCTTTGCAGAGACTGGTTCATGTGAACGGTCTGTTAAGTAGGCTGCGCTCTGTGGCTCTTCATCTTCAAAGCACCCAGCAGCATCTGGCCTGCTCCTTCTTGAAAGCACGCTGGCAGTTCACCTCTCAACTCAGACACCTGTTGGTAGCTCTTCCTTGCTTGCTGTAGGAGCTGATGGATTGCCCTTTTCAAACTAGCATTTCTATATAAAGCACATGCCCAATGACTCATTCCAGACTTCGTGGGTGTGTTTATTAAGTGGGGTTTTCCCCAGAATATGTTACAGTGACACTTGTAAGTCAGCCATGGTTCAAATCACATCTTTCTGGTCACAGATAGACTAAAAGGAAATTTAGTAAATTAGAAATTTAGAAGTTTAGTAAATTTCTAGTAGCTGTTAATGAAGAAATATTTGGATTAAATAAGAGTGTACTCATATATACCCTTTATGTATACAAACAACTATAATCAGGTAAGATTTTAATTTCACAGATCTAGACACAATATTACTTAAGTGATAATGACCCCTAAGGTTTTTTCAAGCTTTTAGAATAATTTAAAAAATGAGCAAACTTCTTATAATCTCAGACTCTTTTTCGTGAAAGCTTAGAGGAACCCATGTTCCTCAGCTGCTAAACAGTTACTCACTAAAAGAAACTGTACATGTGTTTTAATATTTTACCACAATTTCTAAATCTCAATTGAATTCAAACAAATAAATGGTCTCTCCCTAACTTTTTATCTACCTGCAATGTAAATGGCAAATATTCTCTATTGTCAGAATGTGAAGACACATTTAATGTGTTATATATACTGTCTACCAAACATTGTGGACATTTTGAGCGATGTCATCACCTTCAATTGTGTTTAAAATAATCCTCAAATAACAAGTATTTTTTTGGAAAGAAAAAGATGCTACTTAAATACAAAGCACCATGTATCTCTTTTAGATTACACTTTAACAGCACAAAGAAATGTGCACTTAAAGTATTTGGATGACAGAGAGAATCGGAGTCAGTAGTACTAGCTATGTGAATTTAGTTACAAGTGTGATAAATCTAAAACGATGAAACTAGCAATATATATATTATCACACGTATAATATTGCTTATTATACATTTTGGACACCTGATTGAACTCTGTGCTAAGTGTGGATAAAAAATGATATATTCCTTGTTCATGATACTTAATTTTTGAAGCACCAGCATAGAACAAGGACCACTTCACTTCTCATTGTAGTACTACTGCCTGTGGCAAACATCTGCACAATATCAAATAAAATGTCAAGTAAATAAAATTACTTGATAAGCAAGCTCAAATCACAGTGTTTTCAAAAGATGTAACCCTCAGTAGTTTTCCGAGAAGGCGTTCCTTGCCTCTTCAGATTCCGGTCAAAGTGGCGATGTACTACTGTTTTGGAACAAAGACCATCGTGCCGTTTCCTACTTCAACCAGAAGGGAAAATCTTCCTTTTGTTGTGATGTGTGATGTAAGCAACGACAATTTTTTTTAAAGTACAGCTAATATGATGAAAAAAGAAACGGCTTCTTCCTCTTCCATATGTGAGGACTTGGTCTTAAAGGATTTCACTGATGTCATCTTCCATGTAACCTCTCTTCTATGGATTGAAACCGACCCCTCATCCCTGGGCCGGTGGTCCACTCTGTCTGGTTCTCCGTGATCTCTCTGGTCCAGAGTGGCTTTGGCCCCACAAGGAGAACATCTCCACGCAAGGAGATCCTTATGTTAGGATCTGCATTGGTATCCGCTTCCCTTGGAGCAGAAACCGTAGGTGAGGGATGGTGCCGATCCCTGGACACCTCGCCAGCTCTGTGAGGACTTGCAACCCCCATATACTCCCCACCCACCCAGTGGCTGTAACGTACTCGGCTGAGAGCCTGCACTGTTGCTTGGTCAGACATTTTCATAGTTTTTCAAACATTCTGGAGTGAACTGGTCTTTGTTTAATAAACTCAGCCATTTTTGTGATATCACCCAGAACTTTTTGTTTCCTTTGCAAGAGTTTTGACACTAACTTCTCTGTGAAGAAAGCCATGAGTTGTGACAGCGTCAGGGTTTTCTGTTTCTGCACGAGGAGAGCCAGCTGTGATGGCCACCTCAGTGCAGACCCCACTGCAGTGCTTTAGAGACACGGGTGGAGGCTCGACACTAAATCCATCTTGGCCTTTGCTCATTTGGGGCCTTTGCACCAGAAAAGGCTTTCTTGTTTTTTTCACCATCATTTATAGATCTTACAAATGCCAGAGAAGCTCTTTTTATAGTTTATCCCAAAACTTCTTCAGCATCATCTGAAATGTCATCAATATCAATATGTCAACTTATTGTGCTGGTTGAGAGTGGAACCTTTTCAATTTCTTATGTGGCATTTTTTCCTAAACAGTATAATTTCACATGCTGGCATTACTAGATTCTCACCAACTGTGTGACTTTTCTTTTACTGGACACTAAATTCTGCTACTAAGTAATTTACTTCCTGAACCTTTTTAACTGAATATGACTTACAAAAGAAGCTTTACCCTGTTTATTTTAAATGCCCATAGAATCTGAAAATGATCAGCACCTTAACTTGTCAGAGGCTATGATTTTTCAGTGTTTTGCATCCATAGATGTACTTGTCAATTGTTTTCCACAGACAGCGCACAGTGGAGTAGCACAACTTGGGGTACCAGCCCAAGTACAACCTATTGATAAAGTCTAGTTTCGACCCCCTTTCCCCATTTTGCCCTCCCATTCCCCTTCTGAAAACCACTATTTTTTTGTCTGTATCTATGAATTTGTTTTGTTTGTTCATTTGTTGCTTTTTTGTTTTATATTCCTCATATGAGTGAAATGATGTGGTTTTTGCCCTTTTCTGTCTGACTCATTTCACGTAGCGTTAATACCCTCAAGGTCCATCCATGTTGTTGCAAATGGCAATATGTTAAGGGTTTCTTAACCCCCTGAAGCCTATCCCATAGAGTCCAGTTAAAAGCCCCTTTTCTAGAATGCCTTCCTTTGTAAGATTCCGTCTAAAGAGGACAGCCTAAAGAGTCCTATATCATGTGTGTATTTAGAATTAGCATCCCAGGCCCCTTGAGGTTTCTCTTTTTTTTTAAATTTTTTTATTGTTAGTTTCAGGTGTACAGAACAATGCAATAGTTATTCTTTTCACCCTCGCAGAGTAACAACCCCCCTCCCCCCATGTATTGCCCTCCCACCCCTGATATCATGCTTATCTATTACAATTCCATTGATTCCAATCCCCCTCTCTATTCCATGTCCCGAGACTAAATGTATATATGATTATAATTGACATACATTATTATTCAACATCAGCTTCAGAAATGCAGTGCAGTGGTCAGGCCTCTACACCGACTATGAGGTGGTCTCCCCAACAGGACATGAGTCCATCTAGCCCCCTAAGAAATATTTACAAGATTACTGATTATATTCCTCAGACTGATTATATTCCTATTCCTGAGGCCATATTTCTTAATGTCACCCGGGAATGAAGCCTCTAAACTCCCATTCCTACATTTTCTGTGTCGTTGTCATTTTTTCAAATTAGTAAGTAAAAAGTCTGCTACATTTCTAACCACTTCTTTTTTACAGCTTTATTGAGATATAATTTTCATATCATAAAATTCACTCATTATAAGTGTATAAGTCAACGATTTTTGATAACTCTGTAGCATTGTGCATTTATCAGTTTAATAGATCCAATTTGAAAACATTTTCATTGTTCCCCCCTCCCCCAATTCCTTTAAACCTCTGCAGTCAATTCAATATAATCTATTTGGACTTCAGTAAGTTAATTGATTCACATACATCAAATACTTCATCATTAAAAGTAGGGGTAATGCATTGTTGGATAGACACTTGAATGTTAACCAAAGTCCTTTATAAATGATAGGTCCAGTAGTTTCAGGTACTATGTACATACTGGATTAAAATCAACTTTTGTTTGTATCTTTTCTCTATAGATGATTTGAAAATAAATGAACAAACTGTACAGTTGATATCTTCTTTCATATCATTTTCTCCGTGGGGAACGCTCTTGTGTGGTTCTGGATAGTTTTTCAGTTTTAAAAAATTTAATTGATATATGGACAAGATTTTAAACATATGATTGCTCTTGTGGATTTTATGTGGCTTTCTCAGTGGGACTAATTTCTGAGAGAAGAGATCATATAGAGCTGGATGAAGGAAAGGAGTTGGAAATGACACTAAAATTATTCAATTAAATACATAAATGTTAAATCGTATGTTATTTCCTCCATCCTTAGTACCTAAAACATGTGTTGATTGAGTCTGGTATTAAGTTTGTTAAACTTTAGGATAATATAACAAATATTTTCAAAGTTTTTCCCGTCTTTGTTCTGCTACTTCATATTGAGATACGAAGTATTAATATGTATGAATATATGTTAAGTAAGTGTGTCATATGAATATGTTATATACACTGTTAAGTATGTGGTAGTTTGTAATTGGACTTCCTGGACTGAGTTGAGTTGAGCTTTTAACAAACTCGAATTAGTAATTTCTGCTTTAGTGTTGAATATGAAAGTGCATATGTATCTTGTATCTAATTAAATATTTGGCTGAAAGAATAACATTAAGTGTTTGGGAGTTCAGAAACCAAAATAGTGCCTGGCTAGTTACTAAGTCAGTTCAAAGGAAGGTTCTATCTTCTCTCTGTTATTAAAATATTTACTCTGAAATTATTGGTGGAGCTCATTTTTATTGCTGTTTCTCTGTTGCCAGGTACTTTATTACCAAGGCTGCCATCAGAACCAGAAATGACGTTACTCACGATCAGAATTGAGAAGATCGGTCTGAAAGATGCTGGCCAGTGCATTGATCCCTATATCACAGTTAGTGTAAAGGGTAAATAACTTGGTCTACCTATTTCCCGCTGGTGAATTTTATAATGTTGTTTCTCACTGGGATATTTGGGGTGGAGGGCGGGGCTCTTGTGTCTGTGACAACTCATTTTCATTCATTCTACAATGGGGCAAGATCCCTGAGGTCATCATTCATTCACCGAACATTTCGGAGAGATTTACTAAAAATAGTTCCTATTATAATTTTCACTCAGGTTTGCTTTTGAGTTTTTCTTTGTATATGCCTTTTTATTCTTAAAATTCCATAAAGGGTGCCGACTAGACGTACACACTGTCTTTAACAACAGATATGTGTATCTGGAGCCAGGTTTTAAAAATGGCTCCCGCCTCCAAGGTGTGTGGTTTTCTTTGCAAAGCCCAGTGTTCTCCTATTTTCCATGCCTCACTTGAGGCCTCTCATTCCTGTCCAGGAGAGGTTTTCACAGAGGCGAGCCCTGCACAAGTGGATGAGAATCACAACATCAGTGAATCAGCAGTGGAGACACATCCACAAAGCTCCACACCCTGAACCTACTCCCATGGGGCACTGAAAAGTGATGCTTCTTACCCTGAACGATGTTACCGTGGCCATTAAGCATGATTGTTCTTAGGATTTGTTCGTTTTCTACTATCCAATGTGGCAAATCATGTATTTGTTCCTTGAAAACAACTTTTTCAGCCTTTAGTTTAAGAGGGAAACTACAGTAGTTGAATTCTTTGGTTGCCACCAAGCATTTTGTACAGCACTTGATTGTAAAACACGCAGCAGTCCTTTAAAAATAATTATTGGGTGATTGAGCATGAAGTCGTCATACTATTGTTCAGAAATGGCAGCATAGTTTATCCAATCCACAGTTAATCTGCAGTTTGAGGCAAATCAAAGAAACAGCTATGACTGAAATTAAATGGAGGGAACTTTACCAACGACAGAAATAAATTCAGACCCAGTTGGGTTCATTAGCACCAAATAAAAGGAAAGGAATTTGGCCACAGAGAAGGATTTTAATGTGGAGAGGCCATGACCCACAGCACGAATGCTCTGCTCCTGTAACTTCTGATGTGATTGATTATCAGGTCCGTGGTTGACCAGAAAGTATTTATACCCTACATTGTTTTATAGGCCATTCATAATGCTGCATATCTCATTTGGGAATGTATATTGTACGACACACAAAAATGTCTTGAAAACATGGTAGGTACCGCATGTAACTTTTGCATACATGTTGAACTGAAACATGTTTTCTGTAAATATCTATAGGAACTGAAATAATCAAATGTACTAGATTGTTTTTAGTTCTCTAAGATGGGTCTGCTGAGTAATACATAAACGCTCGGAAGTCACAAAAAGGGCCTATGTTGAATTTGATTAAACTGGAAGATTCCTGGCTCCAGGAAATTAGTAACATACACCACACATAGTATACCATCTGGTTGTTGTAAATCAGAATGTTATAGCAAATATAACCAGAATTCAGGTCACATATAAAAAATTAGTCAGCTGGCCTAGTGGCTCAGTTGGTTAAGAGCTCGCTCAAGAGTGCGAGCTCTGAGCAACAGGGTCACTGGTTCAATTCCCGGCCTGAGCTGAGATGCCGCTGAGCTGCCAACAAGTGGCAGGATGGCTCAGCTAAAAAAAACAAAAACCAACAAAATTAGTCATTTATGGAAAGGTTTCCTTGGCAGCGTTCATGCCCGTTGTTTGGTCCTCTGACTTGAATGCAGCAGGGGAGTCCTGATAGTGGTGGATTTAAAGGCCTTGCCATGCCATGCACTCGATCAGGGAGAAAGAGGGCGAGAGACCACGTTGTGGAACATTATGCACATTCCAGATCTTCATTGCACATAAAAATACAGTGGCCTCTTTCCTATGGAAGACACAAAGCTCTCTTTACCTCCTAACTGTAAGGATCACATTTGTTATCTTCAAGCCTGCTTTTGTACCGTGATGGCCAGGCTTCCTCCTCTCACCCATGAGGTCTCCCACCCTCGCTCTCCACTTACTTCTGGAAACCAGGAAGTCTTCCGGCACCTGCTGACACCAAGTGCGAGTTCCTGGTAGCCCGAGAGCCTCTCAGCGTTTGCCAGGCCTCTTTAGGAAGCGGCACCCTTTGCAGCTCGTTTGCCGTTTTTGAGCCTGTGTGTTTGAACACCCCTAAGCAGACACTTTTTCCCCTCTCTAGATCTGAATGGCATAGATTTAACTCCTGTGCAAGATACTCCTGTGGCTTCAAGAAAAGAAGATACGTATGTTCATTTTAATGTGGACATTGAGCTCCAGAAGCATGTTGAAAAATTAACCAAAGGTTTGTAGTCATAAATCATGGGCTGCTTGTGGCCAGCGTTCTCTCCTTACTCATGTTTGTGTGCCTGGTGGGCCTAGCTCAGTGGGCAGAGGTAAATGTCACGGTGTTGATTGATTTGAATGAAATATATAGTTTTTTAGGGAGTTAGGAATCGTATTATCTAGTTGTATAATAAGTAACTGCCATATAATGTTTTTGGATAGTAAAATCTTATCATCATTAACAATAAACAGAATGAAAGTTTCCTTCGTACTAAAGAACTAGGAAAGCGGGAGCTTCCTAAGTAAGGCTCCCTAAAGATGAAGTCTCTAATAGTTCAAAGAACCAGCTTGTGGGCTTTTTTCCAGCCGAATTTATTGGGTAGAAAGTTACCATAACTTGCAGTTAGTTGGCAGGAGGGTGGGAAAGGACAAAAGCAAAGTTTTGCAAAGGTGAAGTTACATTTCCAAGTGAAACATTTTGGTTTTGGATTAAATGCTTCTCCATGACTTTTGCCCAACAGAAATGTCAGGGTTCTCTGAAACAAAGATTTCTGAGTTCCTTTGTCACCTGAGATTTCTTTGCAGTTTTTGAAATTTTCAAGCTCTGTAGGAAGCTTGTGCAAGATATACAAGTACCTGTTGAACAATTGCCGCATCCTCTAAATTATTTGGTATTTTCCTTCTCAAACCTGGTGCTGCCGCTCCCCTGTTCTATTAAAAGTCTTGTCTTGCAGTGTTCTGTAAGCATAAGTCTGAGTGTGAGCAGCTTTGGCACCTGGAACCTTTCGTGGCAGCCGCACCCCAGACCACCTGAATCAGAAAGCGGGGAGGGCTCAGCAGTCTGTTTTAGGAAGCCCTCCGGCCGACTCCAACACTCACCAGAGTTTGAGAATTGCTGTGTGAGAAGAATATATAGATAGGACATGTTTAAGAAATAATGTGGAGGAAATTTCAGTATGAAGTATGCCTTCTGCATAAAAGTATTAACATAACTTTTTTTTCATTTAGCTCCAATTCTTTGAGAAACGTTTCTGGTGTTGGGGCGGGGGGAGTGTTTTCATGGGCTATTTATCGTGTTTCTCTTTTATTGCACCATGTTCTTGATGACTTGTAAGGTGTTAAAAATAGAACTATGTTCCGAATTTGACTCCATTTATTTTCTCTAGCCTTGGCTTCATTATGTACAGTTACTGATGTTTGCACTGATATCAGTGCTAAAAAATACACTTTCCTCATGTTTATAAGCATTTCAGCTAATCTTCCTAAGCTATTCTCATTTCCTATTTTATTCTTTTTGAATCAGTCTAGTGCAAGTTTTGCTGTACTTTGTAGAACTGAATGATCTGGAGAAATGTCACTCCATTCAGATATAGAAGAGTTTGAGGTGACAGCTACTGTCATATCATCAGATTGTTTGACAAAGATTACTTTGTAAAATTAGGCCAGTTGTTGCTTGTTCATATGTTTCTGGTGATCAAAGGAAGTGTATTGACTAGTGCTTGTCTAGTGCTTGCAATTCTGGTGCTTGTCTGAGGCTAACGTGACTTGTTTTAATTCCTTAGGTGCAGCTATCTTCTTTGAATTCAAACACTACAAGCCTAAAAAAAGGTTTACCAGTACCAAGTGCTTTGCTTTCATGGAGATGGATGAAATTAAACCTGGGCCAATTGTAATAGAACTGTAAGTGATGCACATATAGAATTAGTCCTCATTGAATGGTGACTGCGAAGTATTTCTTAGTATGTGACCTTGGGATAGATGAATTATCAAAGTATTTTAAAGTGGTTTTTCTATTGTGGTTACAGATACAAGAAACCCACTGACTTTAAAAGAAAGAAATTGCAATTATTGACCAAGAAACCACTTTATCTTCATCTACATCAAACTTTGCACAAGGAATGACCCTGACATGAATAACCTGGAACTTCTGTGAATTTTACCACTCACTAGAAACCATCATAGCTCTGTGTAGCATATCACCCTTCAGCAGGCATGAAGCGAACCATCCCTATGCCGGTAGGCCAGAGTGAGTCCAATGCAAAGCTGGAGCCCAGAATTCAAAGTCCAGCCCACCACCGAATGTGAGACTCCTTTGGGTACAGGCTGATTGTAGGATTTGAAACGTTTTCACTTTTCTATTGATTGTGCAATTAATAGTCTCTCTTCTGATTTACCACTACTCCTGCCCTCCTTCCTGGAACAACTCTGTTGTGGGTAGGATGTGCTCATCTTCAACCTTAATACAGCAATAAGAAAGTGCTAGAGTTTACACATCTGTTCACTTTGCTCCACTGTGCTCCTTTGTTTTTTGAGTTAATGTCCAACGTTGAGCCGATGTGGGTGGGATAGTATGAAACTGCTTCGAGAGGGATTGGACCAATTACACTGTCCGAGGTCAGTCTGGACATGTATAGGCTGCTCCTCAGAGATCGCCTTGATTCACCCTCTCAGTTTTCCTGCTCAGAGTGTGCCTCGGCCACGTCAGTGTCCGTGGGGGCGTGTTCCCAGGTTGTAGCTGGGATTTTTCCCGATGACCAGGCCGTTTTCTGAAAGTGAGCATATTTTTAGTCACTCTTCGTCTATGTCGCATTGCTATATTCTTTCTGATAGTGATTCTAGGGTTAACGTGGCACCATCTCAGAATAACTGCAGATTTTTAGATGGGTTTATAATGTCTTCTGAATCATGTAACCTACAAATAACTTGAGTCAGACGCTAACGAGATACTGCAGGAATAACTGCTGATTTTCTGACAACTGATTGTGAAACCTGAAAACCTGCATACCTCTTCTCACAGTGATGAGTATGCAATATCTGGAGATATTTTTTTTTTTTAACATAGGTAGATAGGATTGCCATTTATTCCCTATTTAGGTATATCAACATTCATCCATATGGAAATATGCAGGTCATTAGCTTATAATTTGACTACATTACTTTTGACTTAATGGGGCATAAATAAAACTTCCATATTGCACACTAGGTGGCTGTTTGATACACAGAATATTAAGGTCTGGGGTGGGCTTTCTGTGGGTTCATGTAGAGCCCACATATTTAACGTTCACAGTTTTAAATGACCTGTGCTAGCATGAGGGGAAGGCAGTGCCAGCCAGCACCTGGCCTGTTTCTAAACTGGTATAATAACCCTAGTCATACCATTCAATATGTTTGCTTTTGAAAATAGTAACCACAGTTTTCTAGCCCTTGTACTTCACGAGATCTAGTCTTTCCTTTCAGTTGTCTATTAGGTCGATTCTGTTTCCGAAGAGGATGTTGAAAACTGTATGAGCCTCAAAGTATTCTCAACCAAATTTAGTCTTGTCTGTCATCTTGGTTAGATCAACTCCACAATGATTCAATCCACAATCAAGCAAGGGGATGAGGAATTTGCCTTAAATTACTGTTGTTCACTCAGCTCTTAGACTGTGAGTTGTCAGCCCCCAGACTGTAAGCTCCTCAAGGGGCAAGAACCACATTTTCTCCAGGTCATGTAAATTTTCTAAGGTGCTTGGCAGCACTCTGTACCCTGTGGAGTACTCAGTACCTTTTGTTTGATGTTGCTGACAAGACCTAAAAAATTATCCCTCAAAAAACCTATTAAAATGTAGCAAAATGGATATATTGTTCTTTCTCTTTTCTCAGACCGTAAGACATGTATAGCAAAGTGATAATTTATATGAAGAAGCATCTGCTATTGTTCACATAAGTATGGTTTATATGAACTACAAATGCCTTTCATCAGTATTAAAGAAGCTTAAATTGAATACTGTATGAGTAGCTTAGCTTTAATTCAGACCTGGATGAAATGACAAGTGATTGTCTTGAAGCAGTAGACATAGAATACTCCACATCCCACAAATTATTTCAATTTACTTTCAAATGATAACAAATCAGCCATTGAGCAATAACCACAACTATAGTAGAAATGCTTTCAGGCTGAAACACTGCTGCTTCATAAATGAGACGATTTTAAGAACTAAGCCCGGAAACAGTTAGCTGGAGATGACTTGTGAAATAGATGTAACTTTGAGATGGTGGAGTCTGGTGCCCCCCCTCCTGGATACTGGCAGCTTGCCTGGGCTCTGCTGTAAGTGGTGCCGTCAGAGGGCTGAGAAGTGGCTGTCGGGGTGGGTCCACAACTGCTCAGGTAAGTGACCTTGAAATCTCCTACAGCTTGTGTCTTCTATATGAGTATAGACACCCCCCATAGCTTTATAGAGGTTAAAAAAAAAAAAGACTCCAGCTTTGATTTAAAAAACAGATTTAATTTACTTTTCCTACTTGATTGCCTTCCTAGCTGGTATAATCTACATTTAAATGCTACTTCAAATTAGAAATTATATTAACTTCATCATTTTGTGTCCTGAAGCGATTGAAATATTCAAAAGTTGTATTTGTCTTAATGTTTACATGGTTAAAAGCCATCTATGCTATTAACTATGGAGTTTTCCTCTTAAATTTCTTCTGTTCTTGATATTAAATGGGAGAACCTATAGATGGATTTCTTTTCCTGAAGAACTCCTTATATGTTCCCTATGAATTTTGAAAGAGTTGTCTTCTTTCTAAGGTCCTTATCTTTTTAAAGTGGCATATCTTTTAGTAGTTTAGTGTAAAGGAAAATTTTTGTTTCACAGTGAAGCTTTTGCTGCTTTTTATGGGGGATTCTTAGTGGATTCAATGTCATAAAAGTGACAGGTCATGGTCTAGGTAATATCATTACATCACAGAACTTCAGAGAATGGGAGAGCATAGTCAAACAGTAAACAAGAATATCAGCTTTTAATATTTGTGATTCAATTTAAACCTTAAACTTCTTTAAATGTGCTATGAAGTTACTGTAATTTCAAGTGTCTGAAGAGTTCTTAAGAAACATTGTTTAAAAGACATGGTGTAGTAATGGTATAAGAAAACTTTTTAAGTATGGTGCAATCCCAGATTCTTAGATTTACTGATTTTTAAATACATGTGCCAACATTCCAGTATTAATTGTGGAGTAGAATCAATAATAGTGTTCGGTCCATGGTTGCTGACCTAGGGCCATTACAGATCTTAAAATCCTAAGTCATTCGTTCTCATAGTACTCTGCTCTGCTTTTTTTTTTTTTTCCGTACTTGTTAAAAATCAGTGGCAAGGGATGGGAGAAATAATACTCCACATTTTTTAATGAAAGGGATTTCCGTACTTTTATGGTCCCAATACATCGTTTTCATTTTTCTGTTGGGCACCCTTAATGCAAGAATGGTAAAAGCAACAGAATATCGGGTCAGGCAACTCTTGCTACTGTTGTCAACTCCTAGTCAGGAAATGAACCAGGCAGCGAAAGTCACAGAAAGCAAGTGAGTGCTATACAGATGGGCCCACTGACTTCTTGGAAGTAAAGACCTTGGTCGTGGCCACTGTTCCCCGTGGCTCAGGCTGAGCCTCCTGAGCGGGGAGCAGCAGGGAGCGTGCTGCCCAGCCACCAGCTTCAGTTCTGGGGGCCTCAGTGACGTCTTCCCAAAGTGGCCCAAGTCTCATGAGAAAACAATCCAATGAATCAACAGACTCCTGGGAAATATTAGTAACCAACGTTTTATGAACTATTACTACAAAGAACTTCAGCAAGAGGGGAGACAGTTAAGTGATCTTTAGTAAACATTTTTAGCGTAACAGTCTGCGACCAGACATTTTTTAAAAAAAATCAAGCTTATCCACACTGTTGCTCTGCATTCAACTGGTATACACTAAAAATAGGTAATAAATGGAAATACATGTTCTTATAGCATTTCCACAGGAAATGTTCATATTTTTCATGACATTAAATCATTTGACAGTTAACATATGCTACATTAACTAAAACACAGGTATTCTTTATTGCACATTTCAAAGTTGGAAGGAGGTTCTAGCTTACGAGGTGATTTTTATTTAGGGGGTAAATGATATTTTTTAATTGTTTGGCTCAAAAATGCACACTGCCAGGGCAGCTTAGTTCTAAAAACAAACCTTTTGAAATAAACTTGTGGATTTTGAAGGCTGTAACGAACAGCGCACAGTCCACTTTCTCAGACTACACATCTGAGGTCATGTTTATGGGCTCTGTTTTAAAGCCGGTGAGTCCTGGCTGCCGCTCTGAGAGGCTGGCGTGGGCTCATCTCTGGAGCCGGAAGGCGGTAAGTCTCTTGCAGCAGGTGAAGGTGGATAATCCTGGGGGCCGTGGGTTGGGGGTGGTACTCGGGTACCAGGAGGAATAAAGTACTCTCTTGGGCCAAGAGGGCCCAAAGGTCTAAACTGTGTGTGTCCCGGTACAAATTCTCGAGGGTCAAGAGGCAGGTCCCGCGTTCCAGGTGGAACACCTGGTGCGTATTCTCTTAAGCCCAGGGGTGGACGCAAACCAGGACCTGGAAAGATAAAATCACATCATGTAAGTATATGTGAACAATCTAAAGTTAGATGATTCCAGGTATTAATCTTAAATTTCTCACAGCTCTAGGAGTCAGCTGTGGCATCCCTACTTTACAGATGAGGCAAACTGAGGCTCAGCAAGTTGAAGTTACACGCCTATGGTCAGCCATGCAGTGACACAGGAAGGATTTAAACATGGTTCTACCTAGCTTGTGGTTTTTCTCCTGAACAATTCTTCCATCTTTACCTCACAAGAGCTGAGATAAATACTTCGAAATGCCACATATCATACTAAGATGACATATTGAAATAAGGGCTTCACTATGATAAGGAAATTTTGATGAAGGAAATTCCACTGTTTACTATTGTATGAACTTAAAAATGCATGCAGTAGCTCAGCATGGACCTAACAAGCCATCAAAGTCAAGGTGCTTGCCCTCCTGGGAAGGCCTGCCAGCTCCACCTAGTGAACTTCAGCAACATTCCTTAGGTAGCTGTTAAATTCTACCTTCTAAAACTTCCTTCCCATTTATTCCTAAGGTGGGGAGTGAGGGTTTACTCGTTCCCTCTTTTACACTCTGACCCACAATGTCTGCATCTGTGTCCTGCAGGACACTGAGCTCTTGAGAGTCCAGGGAGTGAGTTCTATCCGTTACAGAGCCTGCTGTGTAGCCACAGATGTTCAATACACGTCTGCAGAAGTAACATTTCTGGCTTTCTATAAACAGCCCCCACCTCCTGTCTACCAGAGAGAATTACTGCCCATCTCAGTATAGGGAGATTATGCAGCACCCCATGTATCCTAAGAAACCTGAGGAAAAGTTCAAATGTACTTAGCTACCGTATTTGCCGGCGTATAAGACGACTCGGTATATAAGACGCCCCCCTAACATTTCCACTCAAAATACAGAGTTTGTTATATGGTCGGCTGTGTGCGATTTTGCGAGTGTGGTAAAATCGCATAACAGCCGAGCATACACCCAGCAGCGCTGCTGATGCCTGAGGTATGTGGAATGAAGTGGGCGGGCATCGGGAGGCCACTATGGCATGGGGCAAGCACTATGGGCAGTCTATCTGAAGTGTACCTGGCGTATAAGACGAACCCCCACTTGGAGGCATATTTTTCAGGGCCAAAAAATCGTCTTATACGCCGGCAAATACGGTAGCTTTACTCTTTCATTACATAGGCCTGGGTAGCAACTATTAAAATTTTAGCAAGAAACAGGAAAGACTGTGCTTTACAAGTCAATTATTACTACTCAATCATCGTACCAAAAGGTGGAGGCAGTGGTCGAGGCCCAAAAGGCCCGCAGAGCTGAGGAGGTGGTCCGTATCGAATGGGTGGCAGGAGAGGGCCCCCCACAGGGGAGCTCATGAGGGGCACCCCTGGGAAAGGAGGGGGCCCCTTTGTAGCCATATTCACCTGCAGAACAGAAACATTCAAGTTTTGAAATACTTTGGTATGACAGAAAAAAGCACCAACACCAGCAAAAGCTGAAACGCAGTCAAGCAGACGTCAGGCACCTGCCCAAAGAGCCGAACCAGTGCGTCGCCACCATCCGTCCTTCCCACTTTCTTCCCAACACCTCAGGCAGGTTAAAAGGACAGCACAGGAGTGGGGCGTTTCACTACTCACCCCGTTGCTTGTATATGCAAGGGGAGGGGAAAGCAAGGACTGTGTCCAAGGTGACTCCCAAGTAAAAAGCAAAACAACATACCATACACACTGTAATCTATTTCTAGGGCAACCCCTCCTGTCCCCTCAACAGCTCATTATTTCCATACTAAGAGTGGAGAGAACAAGAGAGAATGAAAAATCCATCTCTACACATATAATCATAGCTACTATTCAGAGTACCTTCAATTTTCTTATCTCCAGTTCTCAGATCTCTAAATCTCTAAGTATGACCATCTTGTTGCAGATATGAAATAGCAGAGACACAGTGTATGAGATAATTTGTGGAGGGTCACACGGCATGTGAGGCCAAGGCAGAACTCAGCATCAGGTCTGACTTTGGGCCCTTCCCACCTCGGCGTCCCTCTAACAGAAGAGCCCATTCTCTGTGAGGTCGTCTACTTCACAGGGGCCCTGGGTCTCATCCAAGCTGCGCTCGGAGGAGGAGATCTCTCAAAAGAGGTGTATTCCTGAGGTCCTGCACTGACATGGGGAAGTTATTTTCCAAAAGAAAAAACGTTTTATATACAAGTTAGGCTTTACCTTCATTCATAAGTGCTACTGTGCTTCATATTACGGGATACTGACTAATCCTTTCCTATGGGAAATTGGGTTGGAAATTCTAAATAATTACAAGTATTTTGATTTGAACCTAAAGAAACACTGTGAGGTTTGATCAGAAGACTTGCTGGCTGTAACAGCTACACAAGTGACAAGAGAACATAATTTAAAACCATTGCTGGGAACTGGCACAAGAGGTAATTACAGATTTTCACTATTCAGTATTTTACTTCCAGCAAACATGATTCCGTTACCAAACTGTAATTTCACATTCAATATAGGGTCTGCCTAGTATACAACTGGAGATATTTTGTTAAATAGCACATTTCCCAACAAATATGAAATAATGGTGAATTATGCATTATAGAATGAATTTCCTGTACGTTAGAGCACTCAACACGGAAGCACGCCATATAAAGCCTTTTGCATTTTTTAGCTAATCACAACAGGTGTTCTCAACAGGTTAAGCACCTAGCCAAAACAGAAAGAGCAAAAACTAACCAACCAGTCCAGTTTCAGTAATCCAGCAACACTTCCAAGTCAAAGACAACAGTAAGATCAACATTACCGTGCAAGTTAAAGCAAAGCAGGTTAGTGTCGTGCTCTTCAGGCCCTTTCCAGAAATACACCCACTCAAAGCCCAGTCAGTCCTCAACCTCTAAGTACTCACTGCTTCTGGATGCTCAGCCAAAGATGGGATGCTGGGGACTGAAGGGCCTTCAGGCTCTTGGGGGACACTTTGCTTTTTTAAAAAATAAATGAGATAGTACACACATAACGGAACATACAGCAGATGGACGAGGCAGGAGAGGGTGCTGTAGAGAAAGTTAAAAAACGTTTCCTGAAATACCTACCTTGCTCTCATCCATCACCTTAGAAGGGGAGGAACTTCTCGAGCTGCTGGTCGTCCTGGGAGCTGCACCAGATCCTGGATCTGCAGAAGGTCAAAGAGCTGACTCAGACTCATTCTGACCCGTTACTCTTGGAGGAAGAATAAGTCCTCTGCCCACTTCCTCCACGATCGGAGACTCTGAACACACCCAGGTCCCTTACCAGAGGCAGAGGGTTTCGCAGGTGTCTCGGACGACCATCGGGGACGAGGTAGAGGTCCGTCCACTGAGAAAGAAAGAAGAGAGGTCTCGCATGGAATTTCACAAGAAATGAACCAACTGTAGACAGGCCAGGGTTCACCTCTACCTACAAAGCAACATTACAAACGGGCCCCCAATACCTATGAGGGCAAACCACAATTTATGCACAGACTTAAAGAATTAAAATAAGAACTCCCCTGGATTGAAAGAACAGCAATAAAACCTGCACATCAGTACCACTGGTCAGGTACTTCAAGCTATAGGCTTTGATGGCAGTTGTGTAGGTTTTTTTCAGTTTCCATGTAATGACTTCCGTATCTTACCAAGTATTATAAACATACTTACGAATAGAAGTACTTACATACAGCATTTCATATTATAGTAATGAGAATGGTCTAATGCTGCATAAATTACAAAGTCTTAAGGCTCCTTTTATAATATTCAAGAGAGGAATGCCATAGAAATTTAATTTAAAGAGAAAAGGTTTATAATCAGTAAAAAAGGGGGTGGTAGAAGAGGGTACAAGGGATCAAATAAAAGGTGATGGAAGAAGAACTGACTCTGGGTGGTGAACACACAACGCAGTACACAGATGACGTACTATAAAAATGTATACTTGAAACCTATATAATTTTACTAGTTAATGTCATCCCAATAAATTTAATAAAAATTAATTAAAAAAATATTTATTCACTTAAAATATATTTTATACATTTATTTATACATAATAATATTAGTAAGTAGATGCTTTCTGTTTTAAATTAGATCTTGCAGCAGACTATTTAAAATATTCACCAAGAAAAATTGAGACCTTTTTTTTTTTCCTGTTGGACAGACCCCAATTCTAAAATGCTGTTTGCATTAGAATCCTCAAATAAAAGGGGAAAAAAACTCCAAACAGTCTACTGCAAGGCAACACGGATGCTCACCACTTTCTCTTCTAGGCACATCTCTTCGATGGAGTGTAGCAGAGAGAGGTCTCCCGGGCGGGTCTGCTGTCAGCGGAGGGGAGCACTCGCCACCGCTCACTGGCGATGGGCCGAAAGAGCCATTCTGGCTCAGGGGGCCTGAAGACGACAGTCCACTGTTACTACTCTAAGGCAACCTTTCTTTTACGTAGTAAGTTCTAGGGCATCATTAACTATGACACACAGGAATGAAAAGTAATGTATATACATTGTGCAACAAAAAAGAGATTGCTGCCGTTTAAAAGCGCTCCCTACCTCTTCGTGGAGGGTTTTGTGTGTTGGGTCTTCCTGGCATTGGTTTTACGATCACAGGTTCTTCTTGTAGCATCGCCATCTTTTGGGTCAATTCCAATAATCTTGAATACAAAGAAAGAATGGACTTAAATGTGAAATAGAAAAATCAATTCTTTATTAATATTTACAGAACAATCTTAAAAAAACTCTACAACGCACTGATAAAATAGGTATCAAAATCACATACTTGTGTCTCAGATTGGCAGCTTCCCTTTTCTCTTCAGCTATAGCTCTTTCTGCAGCGCGAGCTTTGAGCTATTGGAGGGGAAAAAAAAATCCAAATTCAGTTGTAGTAGACTATGCACAAAATAAAGGAAAGGGGGAAATAAAAAAAATCTTACCCAGTTATCATGAGCTTTCTTTTCATGAGTAGCAATCTGAAAAAGGCAACACATTAAAAATTATGTTTAGAGAGCATTATAACAGCCATTATAATAGTCTGTATTAGACACCAAAGAATCCTGCAGCTGTAGAACAGTATGTTACCTGGCTTTTAAATGAGCGCTCTGTTTTCTGCAATTCTTCCTCCATTTCTTCAATTCTCCGCCTAAGAATTACACTTGCTGTTATCAATTAAAGCACAACTGAATAACACTTGAGACAATCTCACCACGTCCCCTTTATTCTAACTATACCCTTACAGACTTCATCCATAAATATAACAACATATTTCACATGGTTACAATAAGAGTACAATATGATCAGAATTAATACTACCTAACTTCCTTATTTATTATTTAATGGCTGGAGATTCTGAGTTGATACATTATAATTTCCTTAGCTGTCCTTCAGTAGGTTCTCAAATATTTCTTTTATGAATATCTTACTCCATCAAGCTTTTTCTTCCTTTAATTATACCCATAAAAATTTTCCCAGAGCTACGACTACTGGGTCCATCAGTGGCACAATCCTTTTCATGGTTTTTGATACACCATATAGCAAACGTCCTTCCTAAAAGAATGACTCCATCACATAAAACCACCCAGAACTGTGGGCATGAACCAAGTTCCCTTACAGTCTGGTCAGTGTTGAGGGTAAGGGAATTTTTGTTAAACATTTTTTCCTTTGTTAACTTAAAATTTATTTTTTTTCACGTGAATTAAATGTATTCATGTTCTTTGACCATTTATTTATGCTCCCGTGCTATTTTGTTCTATGCATTGTAAAAATGGTGTTTTAAAAAAGCCAACGGTCGTTGCATCAGCCTCTGATGCCTGCTGTAGAAGCTGAACTCACTTGTAAGTTTTTACTTCCTCTGCCGCCAAAACCGCCTTTTCATCTGCAGCTGACAGCCGCTGCTCCCTTTCTTGCCGCTCATACTCTTCTTGACTCAACTTCCTAAGATAAAAATCAGTTGTAAAGTGAAAGTGTTTCTCTTTCTTCCCAGCAGTCTGTCTGAATGCTTCTATTCAAATGTCCACTTCCACAGCAGTAACTGTCAGTGCCAATAAACCACTCCCCCCTCATATAAATTACAGGCAACAATTTCCAGTTAGAATGGACAGAAAAATGCCAGTTATGGGGAGGAAGGTAGACAGGAAAAAAGGCAACTCTATACTAATTGTAGGCGGAAAAACTGGAAATAATATTTGAAAAAGAGACATTATCTACAGGACACACATTTAGTTAAATGGCAATATTGTTACCAACCAGCCATGAAATCTTACTTTTGCAAGGTCATCTCCTTCTGCTGATAGAGCTCGTTGAGAATCTCCACCTTCTGCCGCAGGGTTTTGCACTCATCTTCCAGTCCAGCTTTGGAAGATTGTAGTGACTTGCGATCATCTTCTAATTTCTTGATTTGGTCTGTAAACAGTAAAACATCTGAGTTCTGCGTGTGTGCACAAGGACTTGAGAACTTGTTGAGGGGATGGTGTGAAGAGGGGTGAAAGCCATGACAATAGGAAGCCGCTGTTTGTCTCCTCAATGCCATTCTGCACTTCCCAGTATCTGGCAACCTACCTTCCAGGTTACACTTGGTGGACATCGACGCTCTAAGCTTAAACTGTAAAAGTTTTAGATCCTCTTCAACTACCGATATTGCCGTTTGTGTCTAGAAAGTGCATAAGAGAGTATTCTTAAAATGAGGCATAGTAAGAATTCACAGGCATGTATGGTGCTCTATAAAAAGGACTATACCCGAGAAATGTCCATCATCTGCTTAATTTGATTTTTCATCTTCTCACTCCGGTCACCTAAAAAATAAAAGGTTTTCATTGCTTTTTCCTCCCTTGCTTTTTAACCATCTTTTCTTATTTTCCCCAAACTAAACAATTACCATGTTCAAACATTCAAAGTCAAAATGAATTAATCAATAACTAATTAGGCTACTTGACATTTAAAGGAGAACCGCAAAAAGTGCATGTATAATAAAAACGTTACCCGAGTTCAGGAAGGAGACGTGAGGGGAAAGGTCGTGTCTCTCAGATCTACCTCCAGCCGGTCAGGTACATTATTTAGAAAGACTCCTCTCTTCTCCCCCCGAGTCTGCTACCAGGTGTGCTTTAAACACCCCCTATGCAAGCAATATCCAACTCGGGAAAGAGTGTCTAAACACACCTCCAGCATCAGTGCACACTGCTACGCGCTCAGGACCCTAGTTTACGGCTCCCACCACCTCGCTACTCAACACTGGTGTGGGGCCTTAAAACCATGGCTACAGAGAAAGTGAGGATTCCATTCAGATGTCATCTCCAGGAAGCTGAAAACCAAGTTTCTCCTACTGAATAGTTCAGTCCTTAGAGATTAAGATATGACTAAAGCTGTTGGAGCGCCATCCAATGCACACATCTAGTTCTAATGGGATGGAAATGCAAGGTCAGTGTTCACTGCATGCCCACTGCTATAGCACAGCCCAGCAACCACCTCTGCCCAGGGCACTGTATACAGACGTGTATACAAATCCATGATGTGCATCTACAAGGCAGTCAGCTGAAAAGAAGCATCAGTGCACTTAATAAAAAACAGGAAGGCAATAAGAGGTCTCAGCTCCCTAAAACTGGTCTTACCTCCCGGAACTTCCCCGTTTGCTAATTCATCTGATTCATTTCCTCCTTTATTCTGACCCTCAGATTCAGATTCACAATCTAACCGATTCAACTGTGTGATGCAATTGGTCAAAGCCTGGAAAAGAAGCAAAAGGGTTATTAGAAAGAACCTCAACTTTAAGCAAGCAGAGTGCATGAGAAGTAAGCATGTATTCAAGAGAATGAACTTACATTAATATTATCATCTTTGTGAGTAAGAGCGACTTCCAAATCTTTCTGACACTTCTCAAATGATTTGATTTGTTCACTGAGCTCAGCATGGGATTTGCTCCAGTCTTTGATTTCCTGCTGCAACTGAAAAGTTCAAACACATGAATTTCCAAAGGCTAGGCCTTCTGCACTAGAGACATCAGGACCCTGCGAATGAGGCAGGGAAGTAGGGAGCCATGCCCCTCTTTGGCCTGTCACTATGGGCCTTGGTTAAGGGAGAACAGAGAGTGGCTCCAACCCTCAGAACTGCAGTGAGAACATAAGCGCTTTCAAGGAAATTAAGCCAGTCTATTGTATCCTTTAGAAAATGGCAGCCAATCCAAACAACTCACTTCCAGTAAGACCAGAAGG